GTAACGTCGGGTTAGAACTGGGCGGTGTGAGCCGTGTGGGGCATTTTTGAAGCACATTTATGAATCACATTGTTGACCAAAGAACGAATACGATTGCCCACTGCACATTCTTGCCGTGACTAAGGGTGTCTGTAGTGCGCGCTTGTTTAGTAATATCGGTTCTTCGTTTCAATAAAGACGCCCTTGTCCTGACGTGAATTGACCAGAATGACACAAAAGCTTTCATTGACTGATTGATACTGGGTAGTGGTGTGAGCCGTGTGGGGCATTTATGAAGTGCACTGTTTACCAAAGACCAAAAATGATTGTCCACGGCACATTCTTCACCGGTAGATTGCTGGGCTAAGTGTGTCCGAAGAAATAAGTGTACGTTTGTTGAGCACTTGAGTCCTTTATTTCAATAAAAGTCTCTCAAATTGAGAACAGTCTTTACCCCATAAAAGCAGCTGTTTTCTAATATAATAAGCTACCATACAAAATTGTAAACTCAGCACACTAAAAAGTACCCCGGCGACTTATAATTGGACTCCACTTACGAGATGAGATTAGTGTCAGGATCAATCAGTCATTGTGTGACAGCTTTTGTGTTATTCTGGTCAATTCACATCAGGCAAGGGCGTTTTTATTGAGATGAATAACCGATATTACTCTACAGGCGCACACTACAGACACCCTTAGACATGGCAAGAATGTGCAGTGGACAATCGTATTCATTCTTTGGTCAACAATGTGATTCATAAATGTGCTTCAAAATGCCCCACACGGCCCACACCGTCCAGTTCTAACCCGACGTTCCACCATGAGTACGGCAGTGCTTCTGACTCTCCTCGCGCTCCTGCATCGCGGAGCTGCAGCGAACGTGAAGAACCTCCCCGAGATCCTCCAGCAGGAGACAGCGGCGGGAGGGAAGGAAGTTACCGGGCAGATAACACTGCACTGTCCGGCCCAGCCCGCCCCGTCCTGCCCGGCTCTGGACCAGCTCCTGTTGTACCTGAGCGCACAGGACAGCCTGGGGGAACAGCTGGGACAGCTGAAGAACAGGACAGACAGCCTGGATGAACAGCTCCAACAACTTGCTCAGGAGCTGGCTGAAGTAAGTACTCCCTTTGAGGAAGTAGAAGTACAGTTAGACGAAGCAGGTTCTTCAGCGTTTGCACAATATCACAAGTCCTTAGCTTACTGCTTAGAAACAAACAATATTAGAAGCATGTTATTTTAATTCTTATTTCTAAAAAAAACACAAAATGAATTGAAGCTCAATGCGATTAAGAGGGGCCATTTGCAGCATTTTATTTTTTGTAGTTCTGATTTCTCCAAACATGAACAAGATGTTATAAAGCCTCAGACAACATCTAGCTGTAAAATGAACACATATTTACAGGCCACTCACACTGCACGAAAAGTTGGATTTACCAAAGGTTGTAAATTCAGGCAATGTTAACTATATATGTACACAGTATCTGGCTTTACAATCGTAGTAAATAACGATCAAGTGCATTAATTTCCTTTACAACTCTTGTTAAGTCCGGTATTACCGTACTCGACCTTTATTTACTGCCATTGTAAAGTTCAGAAGTGTTTATTTAAAAGTTTTTTTTTTTAAGTGTCAAAATCGCTTAGTGTAGTTGATGAATGACTTTGGCCAAAGCTTACGAAACACATTTGGAATCAAGTCTCAGGTTGACGCTGACCTGAATGCCACCGTGGAGGCTCTTCAGGCGACAGTCAGCAGTCAGGACAACATCATCCAGCAGCAGGCTGCAGCCTTACAGCAGCTGCAGGGAAATCTGCAGCAAATGGAGACAACCAATCAGCAACAAGCCAACAGCCTGCAGCAACTGGAGACGACCAATCGGCAACAAGCCAGCAGCCTGCAGCAACTGGAGGCAACCTTGCAGCAACAAGACGCAACCTTGCAGCAACTGCAGACTACCAATCAGCAACAAGCTAGCAGCCTGCAGCAACTGGAGACGACCAATCAGCAACAAGCCAGCAGCCTGCAGCAACTGGAGGCAACCCTGCAGCAGCAGGCCGCAACCTTGCAGCAGCAGGCCGCAACCTTACAGCAGCAAGACGCAACCCTGCAGCAACTAGAGGCCACCAATCAGCAACAGGAAGCAACCTTGCAGGAACAAGGAGCAACTTTACTACAATGCACCACAGAGCTGCAGCAGCTGGAAGGTACATAAAAATATACGTTTAAGAGCCTGCGTTTAAGGAATAGTATCAATTCATAAACATTAGATCAGATTTAGATCAAAGAGGGATAAAGTAGAATATTCAGATGGTAACGCTTTGTAAATATGGCTTTTCCTTTTCACTTTGTCAACTGTCAAAATTTGCGCATATATACCTCCACAGACAAGGTGACTGGCCCTCAGACCTGCATGGACCTACTCAACAGCGGCCACAACACGAGTGGAGTCTACACCATCTATCCAGCCGGAGAAGTCACAAGTCCCATCCGCGTCTACTGTGACATGGACACCGACGGGGGAGGGTGGACGGTACTTTAAATTTTGGACATTATTGAGTATCCGTCAAAATAATGTGTTACTGAAATAATGACAACACATAATACCCTAAATTCATGAATGTGAAACATCCATGTTGCTATGATGTAAATCATGTGGTTGACAGCAACATCCAATATTATCACTAAAAGCATGACAAACATTTTTCCGTAACCACTTGTGTCCCACAGGTGTTCCAGAGGCGGAAGGACGGTTCGGTAGATTTCTTCCTGGACTGGCAGAACTACAAGGCGGGGTTCGGGGACTTGGGAGGAGAATTCTGGCTTGGTAGGTGGCCTTTTTTTTTTTTCATTTTTGTGTCGGTGTCCAGTTAGACAGTATTCGTCTTTTTTTAACACAATTTTCTATGGGAATCTAAAAGCTATGTGTTCCTACACTTCCTCACTTAAATCAAGTGAAAATGAGTATTGTCCTGTTCCGTATTTGTCCTCTGCGTTGGAGACGGTATAAAATAAGTTGATATACTAGTAACTTGAGTGTGCCGTCAGCATGTCGTCATGAAATGTTGGAATAAAAAAAAAAGTGTTCCTACACTGGTGGCAGCGGTGGGATTCGAACCCAATCCATCGAAATGACTTCTCATTATCCAATTCTATTTTATCAGGCAATGACAACCTTCACCGCCTGACGGCACAGGGTGGGCACGAGCTGAGGGTGGACCTGGAAGACTTCGAGGGGAACTCGACCTTCGCCAAATACAGCAACTTCGGTGTGGAGGACGAAGGGCACAAGTACAAGCTGACTGTGGGGGGATACTCGGGAACTGCAGGTATATTCAATCAGATTGCTTCTTAATTATGTGCGGGAGTGTTATGTCAAAATATTTGCTTCAGATGACTCCACACTATTTTTAAAACATTTTGTGTACTCGAGTTTTTAAGTTTTCAAAGAACTTCACTTCACCTTGCACTTGTACTTGAGTAGGTCTCCTCATCTCTGTGAGTGGCCTGCGTCAATGAAGGAATCTTTTAACCACTGTTAACAACGTTAACGGAGAAAATAACGCCTTTAGCAAAGCATTCATTAACTCTTTGTCACAGGAGGTGATTTACAAGTGCAATTGAAAGAAGCTAACAAATTTAAACAAGCTATTACAAGCTTTTTCAGTGGTCGTCTCACTAACTAAAGATACATTTTTCGTTCAGGTGATAGCATGGCCTTCCATGCGTCGATGTTCTTCACAACCAAGGACAGGGATAATGACGTGGGAAATGCCAACTGTGCCCAGCGATACAAGGGAGCCTGGTGGTACTATAGCTGTCATAGGGCCAACCTGAACGGCCTGTACCACGGTGGGGCTCACGAGTCTTACGCGGATGGGGTGAACTGGAGATACTGGAGGGGCAACCACTATTCTCTCAAACACACTGAGATGAAGATCAGACCTCGTTAAGATTCTTTCTGTTTGAAGACCAAGGCTTATGATCTAACTTCAGCACTAAAATGTTAGCTCATTATCTGTGACAGTAATGATCAGCTATAATACAATCATCTTTAAAGAAAGTTAAGTAATCCCTATAGCAACTAGTACATTCACTTGATATACAGAAATCATAAACAATGCAATTTATATACAGTGCGTATTCGAGTGATACATGTATCAGAATAATCTGTGTGCTAAGTAAAAGGCAAGATATCAAACACTGTTTACATGTATGATGAAGGGTAATTACATATCCCCATGTCTAAATATCGTTCAAAATCTTTACAGAGTACATGTAAATTATTTACAGTCTGGCAAGTCCTCATCTCTTAGCGCTTCAAATGAAGATGTTGTTTACAGACGCTCTTGGCTTCCATGTATTACCCAGGCCAGGGTATATATCGGCTTGATCAATAAAAAATGTTGTAGCTGCAATGTTTACAAAACTTTCAAATTGGTATTTGCATCAATCTTAAAGTAACTAGAAAGGTAACATTTGCAGGCAAATGCAAGATGTTTACCTCAGTATAGACAGAGTCACCTACCATTTATACCTTTATTGGGGAAGGATGGGTGGAAGCATACTTTGCTTATATTGCTAACTTTTAAACTTTTAACTGGTATAAGATTATAGAGTAACATTAACTGGGGGGTTTGAATAATGTTTTTGCCCTTGTAAGTCCAGGGATGAAGTTAAGTTAAAAATGATTCACTCAGCACACACTCTCATCATGTTTGCAATTAAGAGGAAAGATGCACGTATAAGTCATGTACACATTGAATTTATCTTGACAGCTTTAATTAAACAATTTTTGAAACCCTATAGTTGTCTTACAATCTTGTTACCCTATTGAAAATTACAAGTACGAATTTGGACAGCATTTTACTTAAATATGGCACTTAGCTTTTATTTGACAATTTTATTGCAGGTATGTAGATAATAATTATGATGAGATTTTATACATTTTAAACTCTAATTGCAAAAAATGGAGACTATACATGGCTTATATAAAGTACTACAAAACTAAACATGCATCATACATAAAACAAACCTGTAACATATACTATAAATCCATACATAATATTTCCATACACTGCGAAGCTATACATACATACTGTATTGAAAAAAATATACATTTCTTACATATACTATTACAACTTAACATACGTATCTAATATTTACATACTGGAAAGAAATCAGAATGGTACAAGTGTTTTTAGAAATGGTCGTAATCTGTTGTATCGTTCTGTGGATGGCTGGGTCCAGGTCAGTCCTGTTCCTCCCCAGTCAGTTTCTCCTGGACCAAATGCTGCTTCCTTCCTTACTGAGGTCCAATCTGCAAGATAGAAACAGGAGAGTATGATTTTGTATTTTAAAGCTGATCAGAGAAATAGATCACAGAAAATATATACTATGACTAAGTCATTCCTTAAATAAAAACATCTGCACACTTTGCTCTTATTATTCATAATAGCACACTACAACTTGAACCTGACACCACCATTTATCTACTGTCTATTTGTACATAGACAGTTTCAATAGAAAACCATGCTATTTCCTTTTTAGCACTAGCTTATATGTACCTGTTGTATGTTCTGTGCAGGATCTTCTAACTGCTTGACCCTTGAAAGAAAGTGAAAAAAAATATTTACAGACAACTTGTTTTTTTTAAGTTAGAAAATGACATTACCAAGGAAAATATAACACTACCATGGCATTACAAAAATAAAAGGTAAACAAGCAAATGTCAATCTTGTCGGCCTTTCTAGTGTATATAGCGTTCTATCTTGATAACATTGAAAAATCCCCATTGACAGAAAAGCGGAAGCCGTTAGAATCGCACACGCCCCCCTCCCCACTGTGATGACGGAAGGAAGGGACATATCAATGATGTAATCGATAAATCTACGGAAAAAACGCCTAATGTTCGGTAAGTTTCTGCCCAAAATGATCCACACCAGACTATTCTATAAGTTTTGACGGTATTTTTCGGGCTAAACCTGACCGAGTTTACGTGATACTGTACGGTACGTAACCGTTAACGTTACGTAGAAATTGTGTAAATAAGACTAGCTAGACACGTTCGCTTCGGTACGCGTACGCTGTGCACATTTCTACCGGTCAGAATCAATACCAAACGCTCACAACAACAGTCCCTACTCGTGGAAGCCGTACTTCTGGCCATATTTTACACTGAAGGAGCACAACTCACCGTGGAAGTTGGCGCGCATCTCTCAAGCTGGTTGCGGCGTATGTCCACGGCAGGAGACGCCATGGTTTCGATGTATCTGGGGGGACTGGACACCACCGGCGGCTTCACCTTGGTGCAAGATCACCCACCTTCACTAGAAGAATGTGCTTTCCCGTAAATAAAATCGAAAAAGTGACCGTATCTGGAATGACGCTTCTCATCTCTCTCTCTAAGTGCTCTTTGGTGTGGTGTTTTATTCTCCCTACCCCTCCCGCCTGGATGGCGTGTTCCAAAGGCCGCGCGGTCGTTCACCCGCGGGTCATCGAACCCCCGAATTGGAACGCGATTCTAAAATTCTAAACGGGTTCTAAATGGGTTCTAAAGTTCCATTTGGGGCTTAAAATGCAACTTTTTTCACTCATTTTTTGCCAATAAAATCATATTTTGACATCTATGTTGGCCAAAATGACCAAGGTTCAATGTCTTATGTACCGTTCTACCACCTTACCAAATTTCAGGTGTTCCCAGCCAGTAGTTATGGAGATATTGCTGTTTTTTATATGTTTGGAGAAGAAGAAGAGGAGGAAGAGGAGGAGGAGGAGGAAGAGGAAACCGAGCAAAAACAATATGTTTACCATTTTCTTCGGTAAACATAATTATAATCTATTGTGCTACCATAGTTCCCTGTAGTGGTCCCAATCGTGTAGCCTGTGAAGTTTCTGTCGTATATGTATTTTTTTATAGAAACACTACACTTACATGAAATACTAGTTTTCAGTCAATATTCAGAGATATTCAGTCCTATTCTCGGGAATCTTTCAACGGACCGAGTTCACGGTGTTATGTGTTTAGTGTACGATTCTCTGGAATCTTGTACGTAGTGCACAGTGTACGCGTGTTCATACAAAGAAAGCAACAGTGATCTCAACAAAAACTAGGTGGCCTATCGCCCATGGGCCGATCACGTTGCCGTATCAGGTTCCATGCCCATGGCAACGCACTTGATCTTTCCAAACAGCACGAATATCTGGAACCGTCTTTACAACACCTGGGAAAAGAACGGGACAGAACGGGACAGTTGAGCCAGCTTTTTTGTGCGGAAACTTCTGAGCGGGAAAGCCACATGGCTTACACTGAAGACTGACAGGTGAACACTGACGGGTGAAGATTGGCTTCGCAAGCTCCAGGGGTTCAACTTTTCACCAGACTAAATGGATTTATCGGAGGAAAAATCTCAACCCAAGTCTTCTGGAGGAAACAGCCAGGATGTTTCCAAACAGGCGAGGTACTAATGAATTCATTTATTTTTGGACGGACAAACTTAGCCCTTTGATATAATACACGCTTCGCAGGTATGCAGTAACTGTTGTTGTTGTATCCAGAACTGTGATTTATCCAGTACACGCGTATCCAGAACCGTGCCTGTGGCAGATCTACGTTTTTGGATACGCAGAAACTATCCAAAACCGTCTGTAAATAATTTCCTCAGGATGGTGAATGATAAGTTCTTTATTCATAACTATTTGTTTAACAAGACCCTTGTTGCATGCCCTGATGAAGATGACAGTCTTGTCATACAAATTACACACGTACAAGTGGTTGTGAATAGTTTTATCCAGATCCATGCCAGATCCTTACCTATTCAGGCTTAGAACAAGATAGACACGGGTCTGGATAAAACAGCGATGGTACTTTATTATATAATTATTACTAAGTTGATTGAAGGATCTTAGTATGTAACTAGCACGATTAGTACTATTTCTATCATAGGCTGTATGGATCTGTATACATCTATGAGTGAAAAGAGTTAGGTACCATTCAACATTTGCCATTTCTCGAGTGGTCAACTCGATCATGCCAAGTTATAAAATACTTGACTCGGCAACAATACTATGTCAAGGTGTTTATACAGTTTCACATGGCTAGTCCACTTGTGGACATCGTTGGTCAACTTTCTGTTGAATAGTGTTATTATTTTCATAACGGTATAACTTTTATTCACTGAGCTAGGTAGGTGACATATATATATATATATGACTATGCTAGAAAATAGCAGCGGAAAGAAACAGGAATTTGAACGGTGTAATGATGTTAACTGGAGGACTGACACGCTGAAAAGTTCTCTGGTGGAAAGTGTCTGTACCTGCTTGATTCTATCACCCCAAACCTAGTTCAGGCTGATCAGATTTCATGAACATGGCAACGCGTATGACCTTTCAAACAGCAAGGTTACCTGTACCCACCCCCGCAGCGCCTCAGTACCTGGTAACGGAAATGGCGTTTTTTTTTCTCGGAAAAAGACTGGACAACTGAGACAATTTTTTTCTGGGGAAGCTTTTGAACGGGAAATTTACACGGCCAACACCGAAAAGAGTCGGGTGCGGGGCAGGAAGAAACTGAGCCGACTTCTCATTGGATAAACAGGACCCAGGTCCTTATAAACACAGCGAATCTCATTCCAGACGGACGACGTACTCATAAAATCATTTGCTTTTATTTAAAGTCGATTCCAAATTTTGAAATCATAAACTTTGTAACAACAATTGAGATTAAAAAAAAATTATATCATAACTATCGGGTCTTTTTTCAGACAGTTGTTACCTGTCTCCTGTTACTGTATTGTAATGAGTATTATACTTGATTGTAAAAGCAATTAGCCTTCGGGCATGATTTTGCAAAGAAAGTTTATTCCTGTATTTAACAGTATTATCTGTCCTTCTAAAAGTGTATACATTAACTAGAACAATTGTAAAAAAAAGAGCTTGTCGCGATCGTTTCACCGTGGGCAGCTTCTATACTGCTGGATATTCATATGCGATGGAACACCTTTGACTGTCAGCAGTTGCCATCAAAGGCAGGTAATTGTGCCCCAACAAACAACTGAGAAAAATAGGCATTCATCAGGGATGCCAGAGTGCACTTTTACGGAATACAGTGCAATCGTATTAGTATACAGTGCAATTTTACTACTAAAATTGCACTGTATACTAGTAAAATTGCACTGTATACTAGTAAAATTGCACTGTGTACTAATACGATTGCTCTGTATTCCGTAAAATTGCACTGTATACTAATACCATAAGATTGCACTGTATACTAGTAAAATTGCATTGTATTCCGTAAAATTGCACTGTATACTCTGGCCTCCCTGTTTATGGCATTTTGAAACAAACCTGATATGCGTTTATGACATACTAGTAACCCATGTTCGGCTTGTTGACAACCGTCGGAGGGCGAAAAACGTGCTCAAGTGGAATCTCTACGGTGACCTCTCTGCGCTCTCTGCGCGACCAAAAACTCAAATGTCAGCAATGTTTTGGGGCTATCAACGAATTCATAGCTTACTCAACGAATTACGGAAATAGAGAACGACATCCTTCTGTTTTTCAAAGTCATTGTTGTACATCCTGCATCATATTTAGATTATAAAATCAAGGGTGTGAGGCCCGAATTAGACTAGGTCGCTCTTACTGTGCTCTCACTTCGCTCCTCTGCGCTCTCTCTGCGACCTGACATTGGTCTCATGTCGTTCTCATCGCGCTCCCATGGCGACCTTGGCGCTCTCTCCGTGCTCTGGCCAATTTCAGGTCGTGCCGTGAGAGCACCGTCTAAGGGCAAGGTCACATTTCCAAGCCGGGGCCCGGCCGGGTTGTTTGCGTGAACGAAAAATAAACAATTGGTATTAAGAGTATCCACAAATAGTGCTCGTGGTTAATTTTCTAAAAAAAATTGTGTTTTGCTGTCTTATACGTGTATGATAATTTTCGTTCCATACAACTGCCCGGCCGGGCCCCGGGTTGGGAAATGTGACCGCGCCTTAAGTGGAATGGGGGATATACAGGAAAAATTATAATGAAAAGGGCCGACCTTAGCGCACCGGACACATCAACTTTCTGCAAAATAGTGTTGTTGTTCTACCATCTATCAAGTACACTTCGGAACCGTATCTCCAGTACAGTTTATGCTAGTGCAGAAGACATACCCTTGTTAGTGAAAACTGTGGCACAAGGTTAACATCACAGTTTTCACTAACAAGAGTATGTCTTCTGCGCTAGCATAAACTGTACTGAAATCAAGAAGTAAGAATGTCCCATGCTCTACGAAATCGTTTCCCAATCTGCTTCCATGGTAGAACGGATTGTTTGGTGGGTCCTACCGGTAACTGGAGCGTAGTGATCGACGTGGTCGCGATTTGTTTGAGTTGCTGTTGTCGAATTTCCCTTCGGTGGCTTATACCCGCATCATAGACCCGGATCGGGTTCGCGGATACATATGGGTTCTCCTGTGTTCTCAATCAAAACGCAGCATTGGCACGTAACCGTACGCGTATCATTTTCATTGGCAACGCGCATGATGACCTTTCAAACAGCAAGGTTACCTGTACCCACCCCCGCAGCGCCTCAGTACCTGGTAACGGAAATGGCGTTTTTTTTTTCTCGGGACAAGTCAGGCAGCTTTTTTCGTGGGGAAACTTTTGAGTGGAAAATGGAAAATTAAGGCGGCCTGCTCCGAGAAGACCCGGGCGTTCACACACACACAAACAATCACACACACACGCGCGCGCGCGCGCGCACGCTCAAACACACACACACACACACACACACACACACACACACACACACTCATAACATGTTACATGTATAAACTGCCGAACATTAAAATCTGGTGAGTTGAGTACAGAAAGATATTATTTTCTGCCGTAGTGTTTCTATTGTTAAAGCTGGTACATGTGTGTTCTGAACACGACACCACTGAGCACCTTTCATCCAAACCCGTCTCCATGGAAACGGAAATCACACACCTTCCTAAGGTCAGCTAGAGGTCAGGTGTATATGGTCACAGTCGCCATGGTGGCGGTAAGAAAGTCGCCTTACCAGAAAAGGTCATTTCAGGACACACCCTCCCCCCATGCCCAGCAATCTGGGAGTTGTTCGCCTTCGCAACACATGGATTTGACTTTTTACCCTATATTTTGTTCCCTATTGCTTGATAATTGTCCCCTCGCCGCCCAGTGGAAACTCTAACCACACACATATTTTTGATTTAGAATGTATAGAATGTAGACAATGCAGTGTACGAGAGGATGATGTTAAATTCAAATCGCGGGTCTACCGCTTCGCGAGATATGGAGCTTCTCCGGAGATAAAAGGAGAAAAGAGAGGAGCACAAAAAGGCGTCTGAACCCTAAGACTTCAGCTAAAAACGCTTTATTCCTAGTGTTTGCTCTAAAATTCTAAAAACATATTAACGTCACCATTCGAACGTCCGAGCGGCATACACCTTACCTACATGTACGAACCTTTCCTGCACTCACCCTCCTAGTAATACTCGACGTCCTCGACGAGAGCGTATTCGACACGACATTCTACACTACAACACTCAGCGGCTTAGGTTAGGCCTGTATACACATCGCAAACATGTTATTTTGGGCAAAATGTTCAACACATTAGATGATATATGTCTGTTGTACTGATACAGACATATATCCGTGTGGCGTCGGGTGGTGTAGTGGTTAGAACAATAGACTGTGAACCGGTAGACCCGGGTTCGATTCCGAGTCGTACCCGGTACATGTCTGAACATGCGCCCCGACGTTGTGCCCTTGGGAAAGGCACTTTACACGAATTTCCTCACTCCACCCAGGTGTGAATGGGTACCTAACTTCGGTTGGGGAAAGTCGTATTGAGGTCATCTTGTGGCGCCGAATGGCAGCCGCACAGACCCTTGCGACTGTGTGTATCATTTGTATTATTTGAATGTTGTAATTGTTGTGATTTGTATTGATTATTGTGTGATACCCTGCATCAATTCAGCCGTAAGGCTGCGACTGCATGGGTACTGTTTGGACAATAAAAACCATTTATTATTATTATTATTATAATACACCTGGGATCGATGGGATGTTATAGAGATTTTACTGACAAATACTTTCGAATCCTACTAAATTTGCATGAAACAAGTTTGTCCGTGGGTTCCGACCGGCACTTAAAGTTAAGAAAATTCAAAAGTGGTCATCATGTCAATATAATAATAGTAGTGAGTTCAAATATGTAGCCAGCCAGTATCTCTAACCACATTGCACATGGAAGTTGGACTGTCGGTTAATTAGGTTGGGGGGAGGGGGGGAATGGTCTTACTATGCTGCTGAGCTGCGGAGGAGTTTGTGACGATGAAGCAACAGTTATTTTAAATAATAATAATTATCGAACCTTTATTGTACATTCATGCCCTATCGGGCTAAGTACAGGCGAACAGATGAAAGGGTAATATACATGTTTGTAGTACAAACAGCTCTAAAACTACACTAATACAGAGGTTCGGCTTCGGGCTCGTTTCTTTATGATGTTAAAAATATAAAACATTTTCTTGTTCCTTAGAGCCATGCCGAAAGGCAAAGCTCCTGTCGACCCGCTGGGCTACACGATCCACGCCGAAAACATCGCGAAGATTCTGACGGACGAGAATCTGAAAATGCCGCTGTCTGTGGGCATCTATGGATCCAGGGGCATCGGCAAGACTTGCCTTCTCGATAAACTCAAAGGTATCATGGTGGTGGCCTTTCTCTCAATTCTGTGTATGTGATCATCAGTACTAAGAATGATCGGCATCGTTTGTCACGTGATCAGCAACTCTCGCAAAAATCAACTGAGGGCCGCCGAATACCATACACGGTTGGGAAATCGTTATTGTTTACCGACTTCCAAGTCTTTGTTGTTTATGTTTATGTTTCAGTCCATACCATAGGTATAGATGAAACATATTGTTTTCCCTCGTGTTCTTCTACTCATTCTCCTCCTGCCATTTTGTTAAATAGATTCAATTTCTTCATTTTTAGCAAAATTAACATAAAATTTGTCATGAAAGTAAATTGGTCAAATAACTCCAGACGTTTTTTCTTTCATTTCTTATGCAGGCTTTTTTTAAACTTGTTTTATTTATTTGTTTGTTTGTTTGTTTGTTTGTTTTTCGGCCATTTTCACGGAAAAATGTTTATTTTGGGATCTGGAGCCCTGATATTAAATGCAAATGACCTGAAATTTGGAATGGGGATACCTTGGGATAACATATCCACAGAAAGTCATTCACGCTTTTGGATGAAAATGGTTGATATAAAACGGTCCATTTTGGAATGGAGAGGGATTAAATGCAATTAATTGTTGTTTTCTCAATGCAGAGAAAACAGTCAACAAAATCAAGGAAAAGGGGGAATCAGCAATAAAGGACCGGTCGCCGTTCCCTCACTGGACCTTCATCGTGCTGCTCTCGGTGTTCCTCTTCACGCTGGCCTTCACCATCACCGCTGGAGTACTGCACCCCACCGCATGGGTTGGTCCTCTCATCCCAACCGTACTGGCCTTTCTCTCCCTGGTGCTGGTCATGCTCTTCACATTCAACGTGTTGGATATCAGGAATAGATCTAATCCGCTGCACTGGGTCCTCGGGATCTACCTGGATCTCATCGACCCGCCGTCCATTGACAAAGACCAACTTCCAGACCCGAAACACTACAAGGTACAACGTCGACAAAACATACTGCGCCTGCGTGAACCCCGTATTTTTTCGTTGGATGTTTGGTCAATGTTGCATCAGAAGTTTGTTGCATCACCTTGCATGGTGGTCAGGGCAATGAACTACTTGGCAAGAACATTTTGATTAGGCAACAACAAGGTGTTAATAGCCTTTCTTTAAGCCCAATGCTGGCAGATGTTAGGTGGCTAATGGATACTGTCTGGCCAATTTGATACTGTCTTTTGCGGCCACCTAAACATCTGCTTGCAGATTAACAGTGGTCGTTGAAAATTTGATCTCTGTGTAATCGAATGTAGTTGAAATTTTTTACTAAAATGGACTTAATTTGCATAATTAAGGAGGAAATTAAGTTATTTCAGTGTAATTTATACAATCTATAGCAGGTGGGATCAACAGACACCAAATATGCAAATAAGGACCTATTTTGCATAAATAATGTTGGAATTATATGATTCCTTATTGGTAAATGATGCTAATTTCATACTTGTGACATGGGTAAGTTAAGGATTTTCACACCAATTTAGCATCGATCCCCTGTCTCGTCAGGTCATCTGGGTCAACTTCAACGCCTGGGAGTTCACAGGCTGCAAGGTATTGTGGGCCGGGATCGTGACCCGCCTGTGCGACACCGTGGAATCCGAGATTGGTGCGTTGGTCACGCGCTTCTACCGCTGCATCAAGGTACGTCTGCTACGGTGGCCCACACGTACATCTTTCCCCACGCCTGCTTGTACGTGTTGGCCACAGTAGATATTGAATAATGGATTTTTTTACGCAACCAAAACGTATTTTGGTTGTGTGGTGGTTGGTTGGTTGCCTTCATCGGGGCAATCATGACTTAATTTTAATAAAGTCCCGCACTGCCCCCCTCCATTTTCACCACGATAACCAAACATTTGGCAAGTGGCATGTTTCCAAATTTGATTAAAAATGTGAAAAATAGCCTGGGTGCCATCTGATTTGTAACGACAACCCCTAAATTGTCGTTACAAATCGTATGGCACCCATGCTAGTTGGAAACATGCGACCTTGTCGGATGTCAGTGGCCTATCGCCCATGGGTATACATTGTGCACTTGCTTTGCAAATGTTACCATTTTAGTTGCTCCATTTTGTCTGTGCAGAAGAAAGTGAAGATGGGTGGAAAGCGGATCCTGCTGTGCCGGTCCTGGTTCCGGATCGCCCTGCTGCTGACCCTCGGTGCCCTGCTGGCCCAAGTAATCCTGCTGATCATTCTCGCTGTCGGTATCGAACAAGTCCGTATCGATTCGGTCTCGTCAGTAGGGAGTGTGTTGGGGCTGGGCTTGCTGGGCGCGATTGTGAACTTCGTAATTGAGGGAATCAAGGTGGGGAAGCGGGTCTTCTGGTCCCAGAAGGACAAGCTGGACGCCGAAAGTCGCCGGCCTAACTTCACGGAACAGCTGGGCTTCATGTCGTTGGTCAAGCGGGAGGTTTGTTTTTGTTTATTTATTTGTTTGTTTGTTTCTTTGTTTGAGCCTATGTTTATACACGGAATACCCCAAATCCTTGAAACCCCCATACAATGCTTTTTAGTAAGAAGTATTCCCAAAGCCCTCCTGTGGTGCTTTTCAATATTGTTTTCAAAACCCCCCATGTATTGCTCAAAACCCCCATACAATGCTTTTCAGTAAGAGTGTTCTCGAAATCACCGTATAACGGTTTCATTAATATGTCATGTATCTGCTTGAAGGCCAAGCCACCGTGTATCTGTTCGAAGATTACCTACCCATGCTACCCTGCATCTGGATACGGATTATATGATTAGAGTCTTACCAAGAAACAAACATAGTCGTACAGAGTCTATATTTTTACACACATATACATGTAGTTTTGCACGCACAAAAAAAACAGAAAAAAATTACCAATTGGCGTATGGTATAGTTGTTCCTGGAATTGGCGATGGCATGGTTCTGGCTAGTCAATGTGTATCCAAAACAATTCCTGAGGCAGATGTACGTTCCTAAATACACGGAGACTATCCAGCCCGGTTCCGGGTACAACAGTTCCTTTTTCCCGTTCAGGTGCGTGTGGTGACGTCCCTGCTGCGGTTCCTGCAGCGCGTGCTGGAGGTCCAGTATCGCGTCATCATCGTCATCGACGACCTTGACCGCTGCGCAGCGGACCGCGTGGTGGGCGTGCTCGAGGCCATGAAGATCCTTCTGTCCGACGACAACGCTAACATCATCACCGTCCTGGCCGTGGATCAGAAGACGGTTGTCAACTGTCTCAAGACGGAGCTTCCTCACACGGTGCCAACGGAGTCTAGTGCGTACGTCTGCAAATTTTTACTTCTCCTCTAGCAAGAATTGCTTTTTGTGTTGTACATATGTTTCTCTCTCGCTCTCTGTCTTTCTCTTGTATCCAGATACCATATCTAGGGCAAATCCGGAGACTACCCAGAACCGTGCCTGTTCATAAGCATAACCCACTCAGGTATAGAACTAGATAGGCACTGTTCTGGGTATAACAGTAAAGGATCAAGGACTGATGACTGCTTAACTCCGTTTGTCCAGGTACGAGTACTTAAAGAGGGTCGTGAGGTTCTCGGTCTGCCTCCCGGAGGCCAACGTGAGCGGCCGGATGCATGTGTGGGAGAAGCTCCGGGAGGAGGCAAAAAACGAGGAGAGCCGGGAATCTGAGGAGGTCGAGAGCGCATTTACGGAGGTCGAGAGGGAGTTCTTAAAGGGAGTCGTTCAGGTGCTTGACCGAGACCCCCACGACGAAGACCATGGCATCATGCCTTACGTCCTGGGCAACGCGCGCCACATCAACCGCCTCTACCGCGTACTGCGCATGACCGTCAGGGTCATCAACAAAAAGGGCTTGCTGGAACAGGTCGGAAAGAAGCAGGTGGCATCCTGGGTAGTGCTGGTGGGACAGTGGCCCTGGCGGATGGGATGGATAGTGCAGTTCGTGGAGGACGTGAAGCAAAATTCGAAGATCACGAAGGGAGACAGTGGAAAGGGGCTAACATTAACAAGGTAGGAAATTTAGAACAAGGCTAGAAACATATGTCGTTCAGTTTTGAACTTTGCGTTATGCCTTTTCCTAAAGGTTGATTAGGAGATGTTGGTACCAGTAATATAGCTCAGACCTCCCAAATTGATTGTCAAAGTTTCAATGGTATCAAATGTTACAAATGAGTGGTTAGGTTACAATCAATAGTCCTGGTGATAAGCATAATCTATGTTGCAGCGACACGCAACTGCACACAGTGTACTCAGACTATGTGAGAAAAGAGATGACGAAAGTACACAGCAAGACAGAACGGAGGAGCTTCAACTCACTGGACGGAGACCCCGAGCTGTTCCAACTCTTACTGAGAGAGTCAAAGTTAACTGTGCAGGTATCACATGTCATTACTGATAGAGTCAGGTTTCACCGTGCACGTATTACATTACCAAAAGTTCTGGTATAGATATTTATAGTATGGATATTTATAGTATACTATAGTATGGGTGAAATATATGATTTTCCCTTATGTTTTCTTATCTTCTTCTCATTCTTCTTCTTCTGCCATTTCGTCAAATGGATTTAATATCTTCATTTTGGGGGCCAACGTATGAGATATTCGGTATGAAGGTGAGCATGGAGGCACAAATACCCTCAGGCTTTTTTCGTATTTCATACAGGGTTTTTTTATTCCAACATTTCTAATCTAATATTTGTAATATTTGTGTGGGGGGGTCAGAACACTATATGGACTTTCGAGAATAATTCAAACGAATATGGAAGAGGTTGATATGGAACAGTCTACTAGTATTTTGGAATGGGAAGAAATATTGGGTGAAATATGCTGTATTTGCTCCCGAGCAAATGTTGGCCTTTCTAGCTGTTTTATTCCATCTATACCTACAAGTGAATTTTGTATGTTTATTTCTTAATTCTTGTATTACATTGTACTACTCGTATAACGTTTTTTCTAGATTATTTGCCTTATGATACATGTATCACGTCTTTTCTTTTCGCACATGGCCCTTGAATTTAAATTATCGTACGTCGTCATTGACCTATATTTATTTTGTGTGTTTTGATCTTGATTTATATCATCTGGAAACACTGCAGATACCGACTCGAAGTACAGCTGCTTTTTTTTGTTTTCCAGGACATGCAGCATGTCCTGCTTCCGTGCACCATCAATTTCAACTACTGCATCAAGCAGACCATCGCCGCCGCAAGGGGGGTCTATTTGGATGGCATAGAGTAAATACTTACCGATGGAAAATATTTTAGACCACCTTACTAGCTGTCTCTGTTCCTTACAGCACAGTGTTTTAAGGTCAACTCCTTTCAAAAAGATACGTTGAAATAATAAAATATCTCGTACATTACTAAAACGTACGTCTTTTAGTCAGTCAAGTGTCAACTGCGGAACATTAAAATCTGGTGAGTTGAGTACAGAAAGATATTTTCTGCCGTAGTGTTTCTATTGTTAAAGCTGGTACATGTGTGTTCTGAACACGACACCACTGAGCACCTTTCATCCGAATCCGTCTCCAAGGAAACGGAAATCACACACCTTCCTAAGGTCAGCTAGAGGTCAGGTGTATATGGTCACAGTCACATTGGTGACGGTAAGAACGCAGCTAAAGTAGGGCGAGGTTAAAATACCTGTCGAGATACACCGTGTGCAGAAGAAACTTATGACGATTAAACAAACATCTTATAGTATTTTCCTTCTTTCTTAGAACGGATAGGAAGGGGAGCGACCAAGCTTCGACCGTTGGGAAAGTGGATGGCTTATCCATGTCGAAGAACAAAGTTGATAGCGACCAACTTCCCACCTTTCGGTCAGAGGATGAAACTAAACCAGGTAAACCATCGAAGCTAAGTGAGACGGGAGTTGTTCAGGCTGTTGTATTTATGTCACTTATGTATAAACAGTAATATAAACACTGACTTTTTATTTAAATACTGAGTGCCTGGTGATCAGATTGATAGCGCCGCCTTTAGTGTGCAAGGTTGCCTATGCAGCAGACAGCAGAAAGTCCCAAACAACTGTTCCGTACCACCAACAATAATATCATTCATACATACGTTTTAACAGGTGGGGAAAATTCAAATGGACTGAAATATGCTGTATTTGCTCCCGAGCAAATGTCGGCCTTTCTAGTCTTTAATGTATTTGTCGGTGACGTGACTTCTTACAAGACTTGTTCACCCCCTTGTCTTGGTTTGCATATAGTCTAATAGATAAAATAAAATAGATATCTGTATACATTTTTCTGTACAGAAGACGTACCTCCGCAAACACCGCAGCCAGTCCCAAGAACAAACCCGCCACGACGTGTGCATGTAAAGCCGCCACCGAAAGGTAGGAACATTTGTTTTGTTTCATGTCCTGTACTTAAAATATTGCACCATGCCGCCCTTCGTACGTCCAATGTTCTCGTTCCAATGTGCAAAATGCTGTCGCCACTCTTAACGAGTACCTCTATACAAGTACCTGCTAAGCTTCGCTATACTAGACACGCAGGTTCTAAAGTACTAGTACTATTATATATATATATATATATATATATATATATATATATATATATATATAGGTAGTATAGAGTGAGCACTATTTACTTCACAGGGTGGGTAAGATCTGTTACAATTCCACATATAGTTGCTCATGCTAAATCAAGTAATCTTACTGTATCGATATACAAAAGCTTAGCTAAAGCAGGGAATGACTTGCAATATTATGAGCTTGGCACCTTGATATGGCTACAAACAGAAATGGAAGAAAGCTGCGACTCTAAAGACGACAAGTACAACATACTAGCGTCTCGCTTGGCTGAGTTGAATCTTACCGTCCGGACTGATGTACCAGCAGATGGAAACTGTATGTTTCACGCCGTGTCCGACCAACTTCACCGTACCGAAAAAAGACGTAACGGACCCGTCATGAATCATCAAACACTGCGTAAGCAGGCAGTCGATCATTTAAGAAAGAACCCGCGCAATGTAAGTAAAAGAAATTGTTACAATAAATAACTCAATAGAACTTAATATATGATGGAAGAACCGATACAATACCATTTCTTTTAATTCTTTGAACCAGCTGCAAGTTGTCTGCTCTATTGGTGGTTTACAATCACGTTTCTTACTTTCTAAGGTTCAGAGAAATAATTTATCACTCTTAATCATTCTATAAAAGTTGCTGTTGCACTGGTAGAAGTGATCTTCCTTATGATCTCTGCCCAAATCAGGCTAAAGGCGACCATTACGAACAATACCGAGAAGACCAAAGCTGCAGCTGGGAGCAGTACCTGGAGAAAATGTCACGTGACGGGGAGTGGGGAGACAGTGTCGTCCTACAGGCCATTGTGAACATGTTGGGTCATGTCGTCATGATCGTGTCCAGTGTAAGGGGGAAGAACTATATCACATACCTAAATCCCGGCCGCGGTCTAGGTTCTCCGCCTAGAGACGCGCCCCCTCTGTTGCTGGGTTACTATGCCGAGAACCATTATGTTAGTCTTGGTAAGTACATATACCTGATCTAGTGTGAAAACCATCCGATACTGGGTAGTAAATCTGGCTTAACCTGTGTCAAATAATAAAAATATTCATAGCCTTATACAAATGGGTCGCACAGTACCATCCATATAGCACCGGGCTGTATAGGTACGATTTTGGCGGTACACACCGCAGCGAAACACAATGAATGTGGAAGTCACTATGCCACCGCAGGGCAAAAAGAATCGTCTAGGACCTGATTGAGACATCAAATTATTGAAAACTATTGTGTAAAAACGCCAGCAGAACAAGGGTTAACTGTTCAGTTTACTGGAGCATATCCATTGAACCATAGCATTATCACCCCAAGTAAGATTCCTCATGTCCTCTGTTGTCACTGTCCATGTCTAATATAGAAGTAAAAGACATACCCACATTGTGAGTTGACTACTAGTACTGAAAAATTCACTTTCCTCTCCGCTTCGACATTTCAATTTCATCAAGCCTATTTCAACTTAACATCACCCCACCAGAGCCCATTGAGCAGCCGGTTGAACAGAAGAAGGAACCAGCACAGCCGGTTGAACAGAAGAAGGAACCAGCACAGCCGGTTGAACAGAAGAAGGAACCAGCACAGCCCAGACGGAACGATACAGAAAGGGACTGCGTCAATCAGAAGATTGCCGATTTAGTGACGTTCGTCCAGGTCTGTATAGCCGGTATATCCATCATTCGGCGTAACACACCAGCCTCCGTATTTATATACCTTTGCACCCCTAAGTCTAAGCGTTGTTTAAATTTATATCGCGCATTTGATGATGCCCTTTTATACCTGGTGGCGGGGCCACGTGCACTGTACGATAGTTTTCGGGACAACAATTTTTGGAACACTTAAATCCTTGGTTGTAATGCTGCTGCTTGCAAGCGAAGGCATTACCATTTATGGTTATTTTCTCTGAGCTGGTATTAGATACATATAGATATAAAACGAACAAACAAAGAGCATGTAGTTTATCTTTCCTTCTTTCCTTTCCTCAGGAGGGTTTTGGGAATAGTGAAGATAAGAAAAAGTCCAACAGTTTCTTCGAAGGCCGGATAAACCACTGGATCCGTTGGAACAAAGAAAGGGTCATTGGCCATTTCCGTAAGCTCGACAAGAACGGAGATGGTGAGGTGTCGTGTGAGCAGTTCAAGAAAGGTTCGTTGAGTTCCCGTCCTAGACATACAAATGCCCTAGTACTTTGGTGCAACATGAAAATTTGTGTAGGAGGTTGTTTTTAATTGTAACTATAGTTCGTGGAACACATGCTTTCTTCAGATTTGTAAGAAAGACGTGGCGATTTGAATAGCACGGTGGCAAGCTAGAGCTTGAAGTTAAACATAGATTTACAAGATGCTAAATATAAGCTATTTGCAAATTTCCAGTAAAATGTCAAAGCTATGGGCAAAGGAACAAATATTTCTTTTATAAATAAATTGCCATTTTTTTTATCTTTGCCAAATGTTGTTATTTCACTCCATACTTTAGTATGGAGGGAAATACTGTTTTTACTGATGATTCTCCTCCTTCTTCTTCTTCTCCTCCTGCCATTTCTTTAAATTGATTCAATTCCTTCATTTTTGGGCCAAACGACCTGGAATTTCGTATAAAGGTAGAGTGGGTAAATACCCCTAGGCGTTTTTTTATTTTTTTTGATAAAAGCTTTTACAATCGTTTTATTTGCGTTTTTAGCTGTTCCCATAGGAAAGTACTGTGGGGCGTACGCGCGTGACGTAATAAGAAAGGAATTCGGGGGCGGGCCCAAATATGGGCATGCAAGCATGAACCTGACGCAGCCTAATCTTTTCTTCTTGCTGATTGGCTGTTGGATTTGATTGGATTAACTCAATTAACACCTGTTCAAAGCCATTCCATTTTGACAGTATGAACTCAAGTGTTTTGGTAGGTACAGCACAGGCCACGAAATACGCATCAATTTTCGAGGGACGTTCTGCGGGAGAGTGCAGGACGCTGTGCGGGACTTCCCTCGGGAGAGTGCGGGACGTCCTCCGGGAGAGTGCGATACGTTCTGCGGGAGAGTGCGGTACGTCCAGCGGGAGAGTGCGGTACGTTCTGCAGGAGCCAGACATTTTGCTCTTCTCTGTTGGAACAACGCAAGTTGGAGGTCAATGACCCTCGCCCGGCGTGTAAACAAGATTGGACAGGGAGCGGCTGTAATATCAAAGGAGCCGGCGGCTTCTGCTAGCCGGGTTGATAGTTAAGTAACATCAAGGTGGTTCAAAAGCAAAGCTGATAAAGAAGGAAACCCCGTAGTTAATAGTTGAAAGTCTTGGTGGCTTGAGGCGATCGATACCGCCATGCTGTTTACTTTATATGACATACAATGCAGTGAGTGATGTGTATCGCAACGAGTTAGCTCGGTTGGTAACGCGCCAGACGGCAAGCCTAGAAATTGTGAGTTCGAACCCCAGTGCATCGGATATTAACATTTTTAACAATTTTATCAGTTTTAACAATTTTATCAGTTTTAACAATTTGAACAATCCTGCATTTTAACAATTTCAACATTTTTTTTTGATTTTCGTTGTTTTGCTTTTAACATTCAAAAACTGATTGTTCTTACTCAAGAATGTCAATAACTTAGAATGTTAGTCTTTTGTATTTTTCCAACATACAAACCAAAATCACTTTGATGTTGTCACAAAAGTATGGAGCTGACAAGAGAGAATGAGTACGGTACTCTGCCAGTGTGAAGAATCTACAGAGGTATTACCAGTCACTAGTAGCAAGAGATAGACCACATTGAATGATGACGATGAGGACGAATCATATGGAGTACTATCATAGCTTAGTACAGAAATTCTACTGCTTTACTTTACTTTACTTTCTTTCACTCTGTACATGCAATTAGCTCACTGGCATGATTTTAAAAATAAAGGTTATGATAATCATATTATATGTATAGCTTATTCAATGTATGGCTTCATAGTTTATGTGATTGTTAATAAGGCCATGCTGATTTGATTGTATGGATGGCATCTGTGCGCGCATCGGTTTTCGTTAATTTAAAACTAAGTTTACGACATTCATACAAAACATCTGGAAACTAAGCAAACATACTCTGTAAATTGATTACTGTAATTCCCGATTTTTTTTCACTGTACCGCAACGTAACGGAAGCAGGAGGTCAATGTTCACGGTTTTCACTGTCACCTCTGTACCGTGAACTTATCTTTACAGTTAGGAAATAATTCCTGGACTTTCTTTTTCCTGCAACTGTCACCACCGTGAATAAATAGTTCCGTGAACATGTCCATGTTTCTCAGACCGTGAAAATTTTGCTACCGTTAGTAGTAGTTGCAATTTCGTCATTAGTAGTATTTAGATACCTGCAATATGTAACTTTGAAATTGAGATAAGTGTAAAGTAAAGCTGTCGAGATTTAAAGTGCTTGTCGTTGTATCTTTGTAAAAAAAAAAGGGAGATAATGGCCAAGTGCCATTTTTGTAAATATCTGTCGAGATTCAAAACGCTTGTCCTTGTATGATTGCAGTATGATTTATTCAGAATCTTCTATTTTTGTATGGGGAAGGAGATGGAGTGAAATATTACATTTGCTCCGAAGCAAATGTTGGCCTTTCTAGTTTCTTTTTATCTTCCCCAAATTTCCATTTATGCATTGTATGTTTCCGTTTATGTTCAGTGTTGGTGTTACATACTAGTACAGTTCAGACAAATGGCGATATGGCAACACAAAGTCACAATATGTTAATCATCGCATAAAGTACATACCTATAAAAATGAAGAACATTCATTCACAACGAACAGAATTACGGGCTAAAAGAAGGAAAACGTCTACTATAGTTCCAAACCAGAATTCAGAGGTCTCATACCTCCACGAAACATGTAGATGTTTTGTAAATTTGTCCCATTGATCATGGAAATAAGCTCGTACTTATCAAAATCTTTTTAATTTGCGGTTTTCTAAACTCTCGAACTAGACCTTTGTTTCTATAACCGCTGCTCACCTGCCAAATATAATTAAGATCCACTAACAAATTTATGCTGCATACATACAATCGACAAATACACAAAACCTCCGCTGCAGTGCGATTATGAAAAGCCAGGTTTATCATTTTTACCTTCGCCAAGAAGGTTATGTTTTCAGGGGCGTTCGTGTATGTGTGTGTGTGTGTGTGTGTCTGTCTGTCTGTCTGTCTGTCAACACGATAACTTGAGAAGGCCTTGATGGATTGTCTTGATACTTGGTAGGTGGGTAGGTCTTGATGAGACCTCAAAATGATTAGATTTTGGACCCCCTAGCGGCTTGTTATGGTACTGCAGCTGAACTTCCGGTTTTGATATCTCATGATCTAGACAATCCATGGTGATGAAATTTGGATGGTAGGTAGCTCTTGTGCTGGGGAAGAAGTGACGTGAGTTTGGGCCCCCTAGCGGCTTGCTCTGGAACTGCAGGGATATATTCTTGAAAATATTCAAAAGGGGATAACTCAAGAACCGGTTGACGGATCGTCGTGATTTTTGGTATGTAGGTAGCTTACGTGATGCTTAATATAATTATGTGACAATTATGCAGATATGGATTTAATTTGCATAATTTATGGGGAAATTCTATAAATCAGCTGCATTCCATGATAGGACAATTGAAGCTTGTGACATTGGACATTGACAACGAGAGAAACACAGGAAGATATTGATTATGTTAATAATGACTTAATTTGCATAATTAATGAGAAAATTTTATAATTATGTAATGATATTATTATTGATAACTGCCTGGAATTTCATACTTGTGGTATTTGAAAGTTAAGTTGAGGTGAACATCATTAAACATAATTTATTCAAATCAGGACCTCATTTGCATAATTTTTTAGGAAATGCTAGAATGCATTGTTTGTTAATATAAGACTGTCTCTTGGTTGAGATTATGATAAAATGATATAATTCATGAAAATTAGGGTCCTGTTTCTTAAATCAGGGGGGAATAATCTAATCTATAATTTGTCAGTCATAAAGATTAACATCATTTGGCGAAGGTATGAGATCGGGGAACTCTAGTTTAACTTGAACTACATTTTCACAACTTCCCACATGCACAAAAAAATAAAGACGCATCCACAAATACTCCAATTGAGACATTTACCTTAATACGGAGACACACCACAGCTGCTCCACCAGGCTCAAACTGAAAACATACATTTCTGACCGAAGCAAAGACACACACCTTGCAGTACGTAAGGAAACTCGCAAGTCTAATGAAACCGTTTTTGCCAGGAATGCTTGAGTTGGGCGCACCGTTCAGTCCAGAGAAGCTGCATCTTCTGGACATGGGCAACAACGGAACCATCAACTACATGGAGTTCTCCAAGGGGCTGCGCTACAGTAGGTAAGTCACAAGAGATTTGGGCTTTAGCTTGTTTTTGTGTGTTACAAAAATAACTTGAGTTGTGTTCCAATGCCCTCGGGTGACTCCCATAAGAACACCTATTCCCTAACTGTGACCCAGATAGGGTCAGCTGGGGTGTACATGGTTGCAGTCGCCATGGTGACGGAAAGACCGCCCCTAAGATCGGGTGAGAAAGACGAGATATACCATGTACGGAGGGAACTTGTGACAATGAAACAACAGACGTCTTATTAAGTATTGTTTCCTATTCCTTAGATCCATGCGGAACAAAATTGCGGGAGAATCGCATGGGAAGGCGTAAAGGATGATAAAGGTAAACCATCAGAGTTATCTTGGACGGGACGGGAGTAGTTCGGGACTTGCTGATGTATTTCTAACAGTAACTTTAAACTCTATATGTACCATACTTCTTATAGATTTAGTATTAGACGTCCTGCCAATTATGTATCTTGCTTATATAGCGGGTATGAATGTACAATAGAGGTCTATTACTATTACATCATTGTTTGCCGATGTCAGCAGGGTTAAACGGACCGAGAAGAAGAAACTGACCCACCGAAAGTCGTACGGCAAGGTGACTCCCTGGGCTACATATGCTCTACCCACGCCACCAGCACAGCGGAACCACATGCCAGTCCCTGTAGAGAGAGAAAGCGTTAACGTTATTCCATGTAATACGGTATCTGACGGAACCCGATCAGACCACGTTGCACGGATGTAAATATCTACTTAGAGCTCCACAAAATGACCTTAAACCTATATACTGTTTATGTTTTTTTTAATATCTACAGGATTTGTACATATTCAATGCATTGCAGAAAGACATATGAAATACATTGTTTTACCTCGTGTTCTGCTCTTCCTTCTTCTTCTTCTGCCATATCGATAAGTGGACGTTGAGTAAGAAAGTGGAAAAGTAAATCATTTACAGTCTGGAAAGAAAAGTCCTCATCTCTGAGCACTTCAAATGAAGATGTCATTTGTAGACGCTATTGGCTTCCTTATATTACCTGGCGTGCATGACTGCTTGAAATGTTGATTACGAGCTTTGGTGAAAAATAAAACTGTAACAGCTGCAATGTTTGTTTGTACATGTATATGTCTTGTTTGGTGCGATGTGCACGAATAATTGTCACATTGGTTCAATGCCATCAATCTTTGTCGTCACAATTCATTGTGCTGCCATAGTTCTCTGTGCTGGCACCAATCATGTAACCTGTGACGCTTCTGCCCTCATGTATTTTGTCTTAATACATCACGCTCACATGAACATTTGCTGTAGAAAGCTTGGGGCAATATTTCCCATTCAGTTCATTTATCATATTTTTTCTCCAACCAATTTAAAAGTAGCCCGAAAACTCTGCCTTCTCTTAATTTGTCTTGTGTTTCATGGCTCACAGATTTGAGTAGAGAAGAGAGGACATGAAAAGTTCTAATTAGTCTTGTGTTTCTTGGCCAGTGACTCATCCAGGCCCGAGCAGGCCAGCAGGTTGTAGTAGTAGGTGAGGCCCAGCAGACAGAAGCCCCACACCACAGTAATGTGCTCCGCGTGGTTCTCATGGGGCGTTCCGCACACGCTGTACCAGTGGTGCACGCCAGGGGGCGCTGCTCCACCGGGAACACAGTGGAAATCCATGTAGCCCTCGTCATAGTCGCTCGGGCACAGGTACTTCCTCTTCGATACAACCTGCGAGTGGGCAAAAATTCTCTTTTTTTGCAAAAAGACATTTCTAGTAAAAAAAAAGTAAAAAAGAATCTTTCTGTTAAAAAAACATTTTTATTAACTTTTGCAGAAAAATAGATACGTTTTACCTACTAGAGATAAAATAATTGCCAAGCATTAAGATTGTTCACGTAATATGAACAGGTAATATTCAATTCTATGCACTACTGATTATAATGTATTATATATCAATGATGAACAATACAAGACTACTACTAAGTAAACGTCATATTTAAGAGTGGTGTAGTAGAAGATGTTCTCGTGCATGGCATAAGGCTGGCCTCTGAAGAGACAGACGGGTCTGGGGATAGCTGCCCATCTTCACTTCTACCTTGTTCCCCCAACGACCAGGAGGTCAAGGGACAAGGTAGGTCGGTGGGTATAACACACAGTGTTTTGATACAGTGCTCTGTTCAGTTGATGATATAATAGTTGTGCACATACCTGTCCAATGGTATTGTAGAACTCTACTGTCTCGTTACAAGGGCCTAGAGGTTCATGGATTCCGGTCGACACGATCGCCTCCGGTTTGGCAAAAACGGCAAGTAGGGCAAAGGTCAGGAAGTGGAGCAGAACAACCACGGTTAGCTCGTCCTTCCAGGGGTGGCTGCCTGGTGATAGAAATAGACTAAACTCAAAATATAAAGTTATAGAAGGAGAACATTTCTATGCAGCAGATTTCCTCTCTTAAAAAAAGTCAGAAGAAAGGACGAGAATGCGGATGAGAAAATATACTGTAAACCTCTTCGTGTGTGTGTGTGTGTGCGTGCGTGCGCGTATGTGTGCATGTGTGTATGTATGTGTTGTGACTGTGTATGTGTGCGCGCGCGCGCACGTGTGCTTGTGTATGTGTGTGTGTGTGTGTATGTATGTGTGTGTATGTGTGTGTGTGTGTGTTTGTTTGTTTGTTTGTGTGTCCTCACCTGTCCCCCTGGGCCTGCCGTCCTGCGGCCCGTTCCTGTCCGCCACCCACACGATGAGATTGTACAGGTAGGGTTAGAGTATGTATGTGTGTGTTTGTTTGTTTGTGTGCGTGTGTGTGTGTGCATGTGTGTGTGTGTGCATGTGTGTGTGTGTGTGTGTGTGTTTGTTTGTGTGTCCTCACCTTTCCTCCCAGGCCTGCCGTCCTGCGGCCCGTTCCTGTCCGACACCCACACGATGAGGATGTACAGGTAGATGACGGCGAGCACGCAGACCTCAGAGCTGGCGCCCAGCGCGTCATGCAGGCTGTGGTACAGCGGGATGAAGTGTGTCGCGATGGCCGTGGGGAACGTCAGGAGGCCTGTCAGAAGGACAGTGGCCGCCTCCTGGAGGGAACTGATAAAACAGTAAATCATGTAAAAATGCTGTGTGCTGTGGTATGGTATTTCCTCCCTCGATAGTAGTCCTACCACTAAATCATGAGGTTGTATAACTGGAGAGAAAAGGCCTTTTTCGAAGGAAATTGGTAAAACAACACGCTGTCAGACATTCAGAAATGGTTTCATCAGGCAGGATGGTATGTCAATTGTCGCTGACATGACATGCCTGCTACTGGAAAGTTTCGCAGTCCTTAGGATGGGACCCTAAGACGTGTCCAACTGTTCATTGTGCTTTCTTAAAAAAGGTATGGGAATTTCCCCGATACATTGAACCTGTAAATACTATATACAGCCTTTACCTTGTCTCTCATGACCAGTGGAATATTAGCTCTTTGGTTTCAATTTTTTGGATGTATTTGACTTACTCACCTCCCAGGTTGTAACATGTGTTTTCCTGTTATCACCTTGTGCGTTCCGTAGAACAGCAGGGTGAACGTAGTGGAGAAGGTGAGGCGGTACAGGGCACTGGTAAAGGGCACCTGCAAACACACGGTACAAGAAATAGAAATCTAAAAAATCTCTCACCTCCGTGGAAAAATTACGTTACGTTTACCTAATCTCCAAGCAGATCTTAGGGTGGCAAAAGACAGTATCAAATTGGCCATAGAGGTTCCAATACGCCACCCAAGGGCGGATCCTCTCTATAGACCCTCTCTGGAGAATATAATACTGTCTTTTGCCACCCTAGGATTTCTGCTTACCCAAAAGTGTTGTTTGTAGATGTAGGGTTGCTTTCAGACAGTGAGTTGGAAAAAAACATTACATCTGCACATAAATGCATCTACAAGAGATCCCACAGTTTGCATAATTCAAACTCTATGGTTTCCAAATTCCACTTGTAAATTTCCCCCTATTTCGTGCTTAATTTTTCAGCCAGCATTGTGACTTAGTCTAGCGGAGGCTATAAGGGCAGACTCAGGTACCCAAAAGGTTCTCTCGTAGATGTGGGGATCGGTGTCGTGCCATGTCTACCACAGACGCTTGTATTATCTCATCTGTGTTTGCAGGAGTTGTTTGATTGCAGGAGTTGTTTAAAGCTTTCTAGTGATAATGCCCCAACTGTTCTTGGTGGCAACGAGTTCCAGTCTACGATAGTTCTGGGGAAATACGAGTTTTTGCATTACCCAAAAGGTTCTCTCGTAGATGCTTGGATCCGTGTCGTGCCAGGTCCACCACAGACGCTTGTAGTATCTTTCATCCTGTGTCCATAAACCTACGGCTACTCTTTCTGTATCTTAAAGTGTTAATCTTGTAAACTATTGAACCACGTACCTGTTAGTAAGTAAGTAAGTATATGGATCAATAAACACGGCTTCGTAGAAGTAATCGAACTGGTTTGGATCTCCGTTTATAGTATTAGTGGTATATTGACGCTAAGATACCAAACACCCTCAGACCTAATTCATTACAATGTAAATATAAACTGAATTACCCAAAAGGTTCTCTCGTAGATGCTAGGATCGGTGTCGTGCCAGGTCCACCACAGCAGCTTGATGGCGATGATATCAAACACGTGAAACGCCGCGCAGTCTGCCAGTGCCGCGGCGTACGCTGTGGGGAACGGCCCGAGCTTCAGCCGACTGGCCGCGACGTTGGAGACGTAGCTATAGACTGGGTCTACAGAGGGAAACACAGGTATGAAATTTTGCGCAGGCAACAATTTAGACGTGCTTAGAATCTGTAGATATTACATACGGTATGGGTTCTAGCCTGCGCCCGTTTTCCCTTCATTTGACGGAATTTCGTCACTCGTGACAGGAAAAAAATGCCCAAACCGTCATCTTTGACGGAGACAAAATCGGCATTGAAAGACATAGGAAAGACCAATGGGAATTTTGGAAAGACCTCAAGAAAATCTGCGGTCGTTTGCGGCTAAGTCACGCGTAAGCTGTGGGGAACGGCCCGAGCTTTAGCCGACTGGCCGCAACATTGGAGACGTAGCTATAGACGGGGTCTACAGAGGAAAATACAGGCAGGAAAACATTTCGTCTTGACTTGATGTTGTTATCATTCATAGCTTTGTCAGAAGGTTTACGTGTTGTCACTGAATGTTAATGCAACAACAACAAAAAATATCTGTGCCATTCTTGCAGCCGGCTCGAGCAATCTCAAAGCTTTCTTGGTGAATTTCTTTCTGCAGATCCTTGGATGGCGTATTGGACCCTCTCTGGCCAATGGATACTGCCTGGCCAATTTGATACTGTGTAAGAAACAAGAGGGAGCAGCTGTAGAAACAGATAAAAACCCTCCTGGTCCCGGGCCGGGGTTCGAACCCACGGCCCCCGGGCGCCAGCTTACAATCCAACGCTCCTACTGAATCAGCTAAAAGGTCTAGACCCGTCGGCCGGGTCAGTTGGTAGCGCCTATAAACCCCCCACTCACTGTTACAACTGTCTTTTGCCCCCCTAGGATCTGCTTGGAGATTACCATGAAAGACTTACGGAAGAACACGATGTAGAGAGGCAGCCTCCTGCCCAGCATCATGACGGAAGTCTGGGCGTGCCAGAAGTTGTCGATCTCCGGAACCCAGTAGCAAACCGTCTCCGTGACCAGGCCGTGTAGGAGCGCCGCTAGCCACAAGCTCCGGTACCGCCCGCCCTTCCGCCACGCTACGGTGAGGATGGTGGTTTATAATACTAATATTAATAGAGTGTAAGAAAAGAAACTAGAAAGGTAACATTTGCAGAGCAAGTGCACTATGTTCACCTTTGCATGGTCTAGCTCTGAACTGCTGATCTGTTTATTCTTACTCAAACACATTCGTATATATGGCGTCGTTCAAACTCTGTCCTGACACTTGTTACATAATGTATCCCAGCACCAGAGGGTGTCTGCTACAGCACCAGTTACCAAGGTGACGACTGCTTGGTCCAGGTCATTGACCTTATGTGTTTGGAGAAGACGAAGAAGAAACAATATGTTTTCCTTCTGCGATGGTCAACTCTGTGAGCAGTTGATCATTGGTTGCAGAAAGCCTGTGGTGCCCCCCGTCTTATTGTTTTGTACTTTATGTATTTTTTTGTATTTTATGTACTTAATTGCTATAGTACTTTCTAGTATGTTTATCTGAAGTGTAACCGACACTGTTGACTGTTACCTGTTCCGAACTGTTTACTACTATGTCCTTGTTGTGAGGGCTAGTTTTATAATAGTCTCCGGCTATTTGGGCAGTCCTGTCTATATATATCTGTTACACAGTCTAATAAATAAATCAAATTAAATCTCCCCACTCACCATGAGCTACCGTGAGCGCTGCCATCGCGTACATGGCGACTTCGGCCACCAGCAGGTTGGCATGGTTCTCATAGATCTCTACCGGACTGCGGAACGCGATCCACCAAGACTGGTAGAAATTGGCCAGAGAAGTTAGCCGGTCATCATTTGCAACTCACACTCAGGTAACTGCTATTTCTGCTATTTTCTTACTAGTAATTGACATAAGATGTATTATAAACGACTTTACATATACATCTATTGGGGAGGGGGGGTGCCTCTACAATCAGCCAGGCAAGTTGTGCAAAGTAACGTACTTAAGTTCTAGCACACAGTGCTGTGACACAACAGGCACTTGTCCTTAAACCAGAGGTACGTAAATGTCGAAGATCATATGGAGATTTTAATATAGAAAACTGTTATCGTGGATCAGTTGAGCTGTGACAAGTTTTCTTGGTTTAGTCAAGAAGCAAGGAATTGATATTACGTTAGTAGTATAAAACATCCTTTACAGTGTTTGGTAGAGCCGGGAGGGGGGATTAGGGGGCGTTGCCCCAGAACTAAAACTTAGCAATTAACTGTATTAAAACTCACGTCACAGTTCAACAGTACGACACCTAGATCGCCCTCTTTATCCTCTAGGCTCTAACTGATCTTAATATCGTTTGTAAGACATATACTCTACTACTCTAAATTACAAACATCGCCAGTGCTTTCCTACCTGGAAAACATGGCGTTGCACCAACAAACGTTGTGACAACAAACATCGTAATGTGAATTCAGATTAAGAATCTGTCTGTGTAAGTTATCCTAAACACGTCTTGGGACACTTAAAATCAGTCTCACCTCAGCCATCGTCTCGTTATCCATGGTGTCCCCGTGAATGTTAGACTCAGAACATGTAGCAGCCTGTGGCACGCTCGTCACCTTTAACCTCCTTGTTCAAAGTAACTTTTGACCTCTGTTCAGTATCATGTTACACATTAACTCGGTAACCGTACATCTGTGCTTAAGGTCACCATACAGTCAACTTTAGAGGACACAAGATGTAAAATGCTGACCAACAATAGTCTGAAGTTTATTGCAAATTCCGACGTTGTCCTGACGCAATTAAAACGTTTTAAAAAACAAAGTTAAAACAAAGTTAAAACAAAGACTAGTGTTAGGTTACATTTAGTCAATGGAAAAAGAAGACATTGCCATTAGAATTCGAACTTACAAGTTGTCAGTTGATTTAATAATGCTGGTGCCGATTCGAGGCAGTAGGCTTCGCTTTTTTATTGTTTTTATGGAGTATAAAATTTAAGACAGTGTCAATGATTCTGTTGTTCATTAGACTGCATTGCCGTTTGCGTTCGACCACAAGTTACAAGTTGGTCTTCACGAGTCCAGTTCTTTCAGTCCCAGCCATTCCATTGCGACACTTCTCAGCTTTCTCCTATCAACCTGTGGGAAAGATACAATATTTTACAATGCTCCCTCGCAGTAGCTCCCTTAGCAGACGTATGAGTTGAATATCGATGATCATCATAGAATTAAACATGGCAGTTTTGCTGTTATGACAAAAATAGCTAAACGTTCTTGCCAAAACTGAGTAAACTGGGACTTACCTTAGTAATACTCAGTGTTGGCAAGAAAGTTTGGCCCTTTTTGTCATAATGAAGTATACCAACGCAGATGAACTTTTGTGCTATGACAGTTTTGCGTTCTCTGAGCACCGAGCACTGTGAGAATAAAAATCTCAAGATATTCAACATCAGAAACTGACATTGTCTTCTTCAACAATCAGTTCCATCTTACCTTACGTCCGTTGGCTGTCTTAGGAAACTCATCCACAAACAGGATGTATCCAGGGTTGTACTCTTCTATCAGCTGGGAGAACAGCAAAGAAATAGCGTCAAGAATTTTGTCGAGTTAATCATGCTTAGATAGCCAAGATTTGATTTGGTCTAGGAGACTTTTAGACGTTAGAATTCTGTTCAGTATCAAACACTAGTATAGCCTGGTGTCCACCCTTGTTAGCTTTAGTCCGCTCCCCAAGTAATAGGTATGAGGTGTCTTCCCAAGTGGCGGGGAGCGGATCTTAGGGAGAGGACTAAAGCTAACAAGGCTGGACACCAGACTAACACTAGTATGTAACACGGTTGATAATGACTATCCTATATTCCCGTTATTTACTGTTAAATCCTGATGTGAATTACCCTGAGACCTACCCCATTAGCGCTCGCAAACTGCTTCATTTCCTCCTCTCCAACTCCTTCTCCGTTCTTCAGGCTGGTAAAAAAAAGATAAAGTAAAAATGACAAATTTTACCAGTGAGGAAAAATTATGTCATAGTAGACAATTGCAAGCTTTCAAATGACCTTGACGAAAAATGATCGATTCATTGATAAATGGTCGATTGAACTGCAGCTGCAATTCGGAGCGTCTCTAATTATAACCATCGATCAGAAATGTCTAATATCTATGAATCAGAATTCGAAGTTACTGACATGATGCAGGCGCACAGTTCTTCCCCGTACACGGCGTCTGGAACTCCGACAACCTGGGGAGGGAAGGATGGACAATCCGTAATCTTTCCACACACTTTATTCAGATAAGCAAGCCTAGATGTGTCCTTGGGAAAGGCACTTAACACCTATTTCATTATTACCCTCAGGTGAAAAGGGGCACCTAGCGATTACCTAAGTTAGGGACGACGTCGTCTTTTATAAAATATAAAGTCGGAGGAGAGACACATCTTGAGCCACATCTAATCACACGTATAGCAAGGAGTAGGCGTCTTTCCGTCAAACCTTACTCTCCAGCCTTACGTAGCTTGTACTTACTGTCCAAACTTGTGTGTAATGCCCTGAGGCAGGTTATTATAACCAGCTACACCATAGCCTCCACCAGGCTTCGGGAGGCGGCTGGAAGGAGTAGAAATTGGCCAAATAGAAAGATAACATGCCAGGAGAGTTGGTCTTCTGGAGAGAACAGTTTGCCGCTCCCGGGTGGGGCAAAATGTACTCTCTAGCGGACCAACTCCCTTGGCATGCTATCGCTCTATTTGGCCGATTTCTACTCTTTCCAGTCACCGCCCGAAGCCTGGTAGAGACTAGCTACACCAAACAAACAGGTACCTTGACGTCTTTCACTGCCGGATGCTCCTGTAGCGGCCCCTCTATCATCCCAGGGAAGATGTTATCCGAGTCCTTAATGATCATCTCCTGAGGAATAGATTCACACCGGATGTATATTGATTTCAATACGTTAGATCCTATAGATAAAGTCAACTACATTCTCAGGGGAGATAACCAATACAGTGTTCAAATAGGAAAATACATTAAAGAATGTTTCGATCTCAGAGACCACGTGGTAGATAATAGTTAAACCTTTATTGTTACCGCATACATATATTCTGTACGTAAGATGACGTTATCCACACATGTATTTAGCTTTGTTAGATCTTTAGTGATGTATGACAGACAGTTGTGGCGAGCTAACTTTGTAGGCGATGATGATGAGATCTTTAGTTCTAGAAGACCATACAAAAGTCCCTGTACTTTTTGTTGTGTCAATAAAGAATGTCTTTAAAGAGTTCGATGTGTGTCGAATTACAACTAGTACAGTAGAGGCATACTCACTTGATAGATTTGAACGTAGTTAGATTTACGATGTTATCTGTACTTGGTTGCAAAAAGTTACGATTGTTCCAGAGAACAGCTTGATAATTATAATTGAATGTTTGTTAAATTTTCAAGCTTATATGTTTGTCATTATTTAGAATATGACTCACTTTTTTCCTCCCAGTGATTCTCACCAGCCCATCGTCGCCGATAAATCCCATGTCTCTGTTTGCAGCAAAAATAGGAGCAAAACAACAAAGATAATATATAAAGGTCGTAACTACTTACTATAATAATATACATCGGGTCTCTTAAACTTCTTAAGAAAATAAATTATTTTCTTAGGAAAAATTAATTATTTTCTTAGGAAAAATAAATTATTTTCTTACGAAAAATTAGATATTTTCTTTGGATAAATTAACTATTTTCTTTGAAAAAAATAAATTATTTTCTTTGGAAAAGTAAATTATTTTCACGTAGACAACAGAATCGCATGTACATACCCCATCCCATACCACCCGTCCTTTGTCTTGGCGGCTTCGGTTTTGGCCGGGTCTCCGTAGTACTGTTGGAACACGGAGTATCCCCGCACAGTCACTTCTCCTATCGTGTTCCTGGGAACGCTGTTACCGTCATCGTCAGTTATCTTCAGCTGTTCAACACAAAAACAAGAAATCAAAATGTTTAAAGTTAAACATTTTGTTCCCACACAAGGGATTGTTCTCACCTAGAGCTTTCAATCAGTCACTCTGGTCTTCCTCAGTAGACTGACCCAGTGAGACTTGTCACGTGGCTTTTCTGAAGTGTGACATTAACATTGGGTAATTGGGTCAATCTTTTGAAGAAGGCGAGAGTGGCGACTGGTCGAAAATTTTAGGTCAGAACAAACCCTTGTGTTGGGACAAAGTTCAACTTTAAACATGTATCTACCAACACAGATGAACTTTCATGTTAGTGTCAGAAATCAAAGATTTCCCCCTTCCATTGTTGCGAATTTCTTCCTTTATTCATTATTGTGAATTTTTCACTGATTCTGTGTAAGTTATATTCCTTCCAGTCTGTGGGACCTCCAATTTTACCTTCCTGTCAGTCTGCGGTTACACAATTTCCCCCTCACTTCGTGTGACTCTATAATTGTATTCAAATAACTACAGACACACAAACAAACAGACAAACCCACGATACTCACCTGAAGATGTGGTAGCACCGCTCCCACCGTGGTATTCCGAGCCTCTGACGTCATTTCCGGTACGGTGGTCGTCACGAAGCCAGTTTCCGTCGAGCCGAACACATTCTGTGTATATATTTTTTTTTAATTTGAGTTTCTAAAAGATAGTAACTTATTTACATTTTTAAAATGCTTTCTAGATATAAATGTCTGTTTTTGGTATCGAGGAACATTCATAGTTTTGCCACCTTAGTAATTATCAGTTCAGTTCTGTTGTTATTGCAATCGTTTTTATTAGCGACGTCTCGGGGAGTAGCATAACAGTACATTACTGTGTACAGTTTGCATGAATTCTAGGAATTGTGCAGGAATTTTGTCCACAGGCATGGAATGTCCACAGGAATGTCTCCCTGGCTTTGTTTGCTGACACATATCTATGTTTTCATCGCCAGTCTTGTTTTTATCTTATGAGCAGAGGATTCCTGCAAGCAATTTGTACATTTTTCCAGTGTCCAGTAAACGCATGTGAATATGCACACATGTATATGACCAATAACTAGAAAGGTAACATTTGAAAAGCAAATGCATCGTGTTTACCTTCAGAGCTTAACAAACTACTGCTCTGTTTATTCTTACTCAGAGACACTCTTGAACTAAGTTCTGCATCTTGGCACTTGAACATTATGTAACCCAACACCAGTTACCATGGTCATTGACCTTATTTGTTTGAAGAAGAGGAAGAAGAAGAAACAGAGCAAAAACAAGATGTTTTCATTTTGCGAAGGTAAACATAAAAATAAGTAAATATCCATCGTTTACTTACAGCGACGATCACGTCAGGTAGCTTCTCGGCAGACGTCATAATCAACGCTTTGGACACGATGTTCCCACCGGTCATCACTGCATAACGTTACATGTAGAGAGAAACATATAGAAACATCATATCACAACAGTTCTGAATAACACAAATTTACATCGCAAGTTGTCACCCAGTCCGGAATTGGGGTGTAAAAATGCTTTCCAATACAATGATGAAGATGGTGATATTTTTTGCAAGACCTTGCTAAATGAGCTAAATGCAATGGAGCACAATATAACCCTCTTCAGTATGAATGACCCATCACGAGATACATAAATGACACATTCAAGAGAGGCACAAAAGAGGCCATATACATCAGGGCACTTCAACCATCGCTCAACCGGGACGGGGGGCGATATCGACTTCAACCTTTGACCCTTTGCTGACGTCACACGTGGGAAAAATTACGTGTCCACAGCATTTGGGTCAGATAGCTGAGGAAGACTGAGTGATTCAGTCGAAAATTCCGGTGAGTCAAATTTTGAGTTGGAGAACAGTTTAATTTTCCATAATGACCCATCACCTCGGTCACGTGACCTTAATCCGCAGTCGTGTACGCCGTACGAATATTGTAACACTTGTGGCAAATATCTCTTACCGAGTTTTAACGTGGAAAGGTCGAACCTCTCGAGATCAGGATAGTGACAGACGGTGTAGAAGTTCTTCACGTAGAGAGAGTAGAGCATGGTGCACCTGAAAAGAAAAAGAGGCGCATACGAGACATTATTTTTTTATTTCACGGACTATAAATTTTGTACTATACAGTAGTAAAAATTGGCCAAAAGGCTGGGGGCTAGGGTGTAAATTACGATTGGGATTAGGTTAGGTTTGGTCTCCCACATCACGACTAAACACCTCCCACCCCTTGTCTCAGGTATGCTGGAGTCATGTATTTGGTAGGATCATGTATTGTGAATTGTGAACTTGTCTGCTCGTGGAAAATGGTTACCAGGCTACAAAGAGCGTGGTAGCGACTACTAAATGATTCCTACTTTTCCTCCTGAACGGCTGATTGTTCCTAAATTACCCCTGTAAAGTGTTCCAATGGTCTATACCCCCCATGCAGCAATGGAATCTTCCAACGCTTTCTGCTGTGGGAACACGTAGAACCTGAGTGTTGAGTGGAGGCTTTCATGTAACAACTAAACCAGTCTGCTACTACTACTACTACTACTATTTAAAACTGTCAGTTAGGGATTTGTGTTAATTAATGTAAGTGAGTACTTTTCCTCCTGGACGGCTGAGAGAATCTCCTCTGCGTCCGGCTGCTCTGTAGACGTCACTACGAACGTGCAGCCGACAATGATGGGGTGGCAGATGTTCCATGCGATGTTAGAGAAGAGCGTGGCGAACGCTGCTCGGCACTGGGGGAAAAGCGGCAGAGGGGTTAGCTTCCACCAGGCCTTTCTACGGGAATACGGATCGTAGTATTCGGCAAAAAAGAGAGTAAAATTGGCCAGGGGAGTCCGGCCCCGGGGAGGTAGTTTCTTTCCCTCCGAAGCCAGTCAAACCTACAGGGCGGCCAAACTCCCCCGGCAAATATTCTCCTATATATAGCCAGCGTAGTTAGTCTGGTAGAGACTACAGAGGGGTGACCAGGAGCCACCAAATGATCCTCGGTGGCTACTGGTTACTCCTTATAAGCCGATGGTTACAACCTTTCCACCGAACAGCGTGGCGAACGCCGCTCGGCACTGCGGAAAAGAGCAAACGGGCAAAAGGTAATCTCCAAGCAGATCCTATGCTATGGTAACAAGGCTCTAAGTGCCTCACAGGCTCAAGCAGAGACGTGTCCGATTTGGTGGTCACTGTTACAGGACGAGCGAAGAGGTAATTTCTTCACTCATTCTGTGGACATCTAGTGGGAAAATACTCTCAGTCTCTCCCATAGCTTAGTCAGCCGTCGGGGCAGCATGATGTTTGGCCAAGTTCTTCCACTGCTGGCGGTCCTCCGCCATCTGGTTGGCTGTTAGACCGGTCCACTCCTCGGAAAAACCTATTCTAGAAAACTTACTTACGCAAGACCCATCTCAAGAGACACTGTACTGGCTTTTGATATAGACGATCTTAAATCAACCATGATGACTGACAGATCGTTGTAGAGTACAGTAGTACAGCAGCTTGGGTAAGTTCCAGTTTATTTGGTGTTGGCTAGATAAATTTTAGCCTATCTGTCATTATAATCTATCACACCAACACAGATGAACTTTCATGCTTCATGTTGAGTGTTCTGATATACTAGTAATGTTTCCCGTACCTGTTGGTCCATGTGCAGCGCCAGTGCGGTGTACCGGTTAGTATTGAGGATAGCGAGGGTCGTCATCTGCACAAGCTTGGACAGACCCGTGGTGCCCTATTGAACAAAGGAATACAAATTGTAACCATTTTAACAACGAAAGTCAAGGCAGCTAAAGGCAGCTTTTCCGGTAGCATGACTGAATTTTGTACGTATTATCAAGGAGCTTATTGGCTATAAGCTGCTTGGTCTTATGCAATCATGTACGTGTGCTTCGGACAGCATATACTATCTTCATCAGTGACCGAGAATTATCTGCTGGAATAAAGCATTGACGTACGGAGGTGAGCTGCAGTAATGCCAGGTCGTGGCAGCTCAGCTGGGCCTGTAGTTCTGCCAGCTGTTGTTGTATCTCCTGGTTTCCTCCCTTCTGTAGAAGGTCCGACAGTGTGTAGCAGTCCCTGAAAGGATAGGTAAGGCGTCCGTCAAAGGTAGCCTGACTAAATCATGCTTCTGGCAGCCCTTCTACTGGTCATGGAAGAGACCTAAGAAGCCATTGAGAGATTATGAAACACAATATATTGTCAAAGGTTGTATTAAGGGGACTAGAGTACTTTTAGTATCTGCTTGAAGCTGACTGAGCGAGTGTTTACTAATGGATAACTGTTTAGATGGAAGCACAAGGGTTCGGAGTCTCTGTCTCTATCTATGTGTAGCAAACCAGAATCAAAGTCACGTATGTTTGTTTTGCTAGACTCACCGATGGTTGCTGTCACCGATGGTCACCAGTGTAGTTAGGTGAGGCAGTCTGCAAGACAGAAGTTCTGAATATAGTTATACAGTAGGTAACACAACTTCGATGAAGAATCAATTGCAAACTCTTCAACTCTTGACCACGCTCGCTAATGCCGACTTTCGCAAACCCTTTCTCCATCGCTTCCTATCTCCATGTTCTACCCCTTCCCTGACAGCCATCCATCCCTCCATCTCCATTCCCTCTCCCTCCCTCTATTCTGATATGTTGGGAAAGCTCGCCGCATCCCAAAAGTGGTACTTACCGTTCCCCAGCCCCTGTCGCCCCGAACATGTCATGGAAAGGCGTGGTCCCGTCCTCTCTCGCCTCGACTATCAGCACTTTTACCTCAGCCTGAAATACGATAGGCAAGGAGCTTTCAAAAGATTTGGAATAGGTATGACAATGTCACAGACAATGAATAGTTTCTCCTTAAGTCGGTAGACTTAAATTAGAACACTTATTTCTACTTACCTTATTCAGCACATTCACTACCGTGGTTTCCGTGTACTCAAAGAAGCACAGATCCTGGGGAACCTGGAGAAACAGCGTCAAACGGGCATTTCAAGAAGCCATTTCACATTCGTTAAGTTACGTTGTTACGTTCATACAAACAATTGAACCTATTTTTTTACTTTTCCCACCTGCCAACTTGACTCTAATGTCAATTTGCAGGCAAACACACCTGTCCCTGGTGCTGAACACCATCCACACACAGGCAAACATATCTGTCCTTGGTGCTGAACACCATTCATACACAAACGTACCTGTCCCTAGTGCTGAACACCATCCACACACAGGCAAACATACCTGTCCTTGGTGCTGAACACCATCCACACAGGCAAACACACATGTCCTTGGTGCTGAACACCATCCACACACAGGTAAACATAAGTTACCTGTCCTTGGTGCTGAACACCATCCACACACAGGCAAACATACCTGTCCTTGGTGCTGAACACCATCCATACACAAACGTACCTGTCCCTAGTGCTGAACACCATCCACACACAGGCAAACATGCCTGTCCTTGGTGCTGAACACCATCCACACAGGCAAACATACCTGTCCTTGGTGCTGAACACCATCCACACACAAACGTACCTGTCCCTGGTGCTGAACACCATCCACACACAGGCAAACATACCTGTCCTTGGTGCTGAACACCATCCACCCATACACTCACATACAAATATGAGATAACATGGCTGTTCATCAGTTTATTTACCGCCACAGCTCCGATCTTCATGGCTGCGAGGAAGATGATGACCCACTCGGGCCTGTTGGCCGCTACCCAGCCCACATGGTCGCCCCGGCCGATCCCGATGGCCAACAGCCCGCCCGCTAGCCGGTCCACCTATACAACAAACCATGGGTGTGCGATTAGCCTCTAACAGGCTTCGGGAGACGGCTAGAAAGAGGAGAAATGTACTCTCTAGCGGGTGGACCAACTCTCTCGTCATGTTATCTTTCTATTTGGCCGATTTCTGCTCTTTTAAGCCGCCTCCCGAAGCCTGGTAGAGGCTATTGTGCGATGAGACAGGAAGAGCTTCCAACAGGCCTCTACAGTAGCTTCTACCGGTGTTCTACCAGGCTTCAGAAGCGCCTGGAAAGAGTAGGAATCGGCCTAATAGACAGATAACATGCCAGGGGAGTTAGTCCGCTAAAGGTGTACAGTTTGCCCTCTGAACATATTATCTGTCTATGTGACCAATTTCTACTCTTTCCAGTGGCTTCTGAAGCTTGGTAGAGGTTGATGGATACTGAGTAGTACAAACGACAGATGACCCTGCTCACGAACACAAGTAACTCCCAACCAAGGTCGGGAAGCCATGGTAGGCTATTTGTAACAAGTGTTGAGTCTTTACCTGTTGTTTCAGTCCCGCAAAGGTGACCCTACTTCCGGTCTGACAGAAGACGTACGCGTCCTTGTCCGGCCAGCTGACCGCCGCCTGGTCAAGGAGGTCACCAAAGGTCAAGGTCAGCAGCGGTTCTTCCGACGGTGACGTCAGATAGTCCATGATGACACTGTGGAGGAAAAAAATTCTGGTCATGTCATTTTGAAGATGCTGCGTTTTGCTATATATAGTGTTTGTGTTGTTTGTACTGTTCTAGACCTTAGCACCACCAATTCGTGTTGGTTAATTCGGCTGTTCTCCACCAGACTCCTTTTGCAGGCTGAATAAATCGTAGAAATCGTCCTAACAAGGGGATATGATTAGCCAGAGGAGTTTCCAGGACATCGAGGGTCCAATCGGACCAATTATATCCCCTTTTAGGCCGATTTCTACGATTTATTTAGCCTGCGAAAGGAGACTATGTTAATACGGGCACAAGGACAGACGTCAACAACAGAATTTTTACCAAAGAAGTGGTCCTGGGTCCTTCCAGTTTCAATGAAGGCAGATCTTCCGTGGTCAACAAGCTACTCTTGGTAGTTACGATGTTTCGTCGGGAGGTGAGGTGAAAACAAACCAAGAACAAGCACACCTTGTCGCTACACGAGTACTTCATGGCCATTTATTGACACACGCCTTCCCATGCAATTCAGTGGTTAAAAATGTGACCCGCCCCTTTAGTCCAAAGGTTAGTCCGTATATTGCATCACCTATCAACAAACAACTTTTTGACTTCAAGTCACGAGCGAACACACACAGAAACTCGGTCACAGGTCAATTGCTTGAACAGCCTGCCACATGCACAATGTATCATGCAACATGCCGATGGTAATTTGGACGCCGTTTGCATTACTAGTAATTAAAGTTCACAACTGAATAACACGTAAATTTGCCTTATATAATCTAATGAGTGACACAGTAGAAAGAAGGTTTAAAACCTCCTTGGTACTACCCTGGAAGCCAGAACTCGTTTTCCGGGCCGCAAAAGCCCTTCGCCCGCTGGTGTAAATTACCGCTTCGGGGGGAGTTTGGCTGGCCCTACAAATTTAGGGACGGACAAACCCCTCGGGCTCAACTCCCCCGTAGCGATAATTTAGATAGGCGGGCGAAGGGATCTTGGCTGCCGAAGGAAAACGGCTAACGGCCCGATACTAGTTTGGCATCCAGGGTACCTTGGTACAAGTAAAATGAGTCATCGAACCGTCTGTTTTATAAATAAAAATAGTCAAGGTCAACCGTAGTAAGTCGACCGTCAGAATTCCATGTCACAACAACAACATTCGAGTTTTACCCTCTTATTAGAGTGAAAATTAAACCTTACCTGTATATCGTTGGACAAGCAGATGGCCGTTCTTGGCTCGACGTGTTCACTTAAGTTGTCGTATCTATTAAAGAACTTGGCGTGGTGTCATGCACGGATTAGCACGACTTAGAGTCATGTGATGCACCCTTTTGTTGTGTTTGTGTTACCTGCTGAGCAAGTTTGGCCTCCCTCAGGTGATCACCAACGTAAAGCTAGCAGCCAATTCGGACGCCCATTCGCCAGAAGTTAGTATGGGGGTTAGACCGACAGAGTAAAGCTAGCACTTAGTTCTGATAGTCACACACATTACATTTAAGCTCTTGTTTTATTCGAATCACTCTACCAAGTTCAGTTAAACCTCGTTGGTTCTGCTGATCATTCTATAAGAGTGGAGTTAATTGGCAAGAAACATGTGCCTCTACTTAATTCTTCCAGAATCATATATATGTACGTTTCCATTATGCCTGTAGGTGTTACTAGGGCCCATATGTAGCAAATGACTTACCACATCGACTTTGATTTACGTTGAACGATTCTGAATGACGCTTGGATGTGTAGGTATACTAGTAGTGATATTATTATTTTGGGCTGTTTTTTGTTTATTGTTTTCCTTTTATCAGTTTCTCTTATTCCATTGTTTGTGTTACGCTGATAATGTTATTCTTCACAGGACATGTCTGTTAGTGTAAAGTGGTAAGCACAGGGAGTGCCTGCTCTGTATAAAGTAAACATAAATGAATGAATAAGCAAATACGCCAAAGTTTGTTTTTTGTGGACACTCAAGAAAAAATCAGTCTGAGAGACAACGAGTTGTAAAATAAGCAAACAAGTGTAATTACTCCAACAACATGCAACCAACGTACACTTTGTATAACAAGATTTCATGTGATTCTTGACTCTGACAAGTTGATCAAACCATGGGAACAATCATTGGAAAAATTTCGCATTAAGTTTGTACGACAATTAATCGATCAAAATTACATAAAATCAAATTAACAAGACAAATGTTGACACAGGTCAATTAAAAAATAAAACTCTATAAATTCAATTTTAACAGCACCAATGTATTTTGGACATTTAAAAACAGGGAACTCTTGAGGAACTTTTTATGAAGTCAAAAACCCTGCTTTGTGATTCTTCTATGCCTAAACACAGCGTTCATAAACTAAGTACGAGGCATGCCTACAAAAAAGGTGATCGTCTGCAACAATTCTACTTTTATGAACGGTCGGTTACTGTGTGTCTGTTGGTACTTGTACATTGGTGGTCTAACAACACAAACATTAAAGTTCTGTTTATATAACTAACCCACGTTTCAAGTTCTACATGTTAACCGTTTTTAACCGCGGTAGCTGCTCATTCTCCGAAACTTCCTAAACATTTTCTTGATGGAGGAGCCCCTTCTCTGAGAGTTCTGTTTGGCAAAACGCTGTCGTCTGGTATCTACCGAATCAACCTCGTCCATTTCAGACACCGCAGGTAGGAACACGTCGTCTTGGCTTGACGTCGGGCTTGGAGCGCTTTTTGACCGGCCGTATGCTGATCTTCTTGCCGCTGATGTTGTGGGTTGATCCTCGAGGGTGTCCACCGGGCAGGGCGCGCTCTGTGAGCGGAGGTAGGCCGCTCGCCTCGCCGCCGCCGACTGCTGTTCGCCTCGGTGGACTGGGATGGGCCGGATCACGCTTAAGGCTGTTCGGAGCGCCACCAGTTGGACTTTGAGAGCCTGTGGAATACAAACAGATAAACGTTAAGTATCTTATGCAAATCTAATAACTCAAGAAAGTCTAGTCCGAAATATCGTAATCCGAAATATGAGCAAAAGAGCATATACATCATGAACACCAAAAAATACACAAAATACTACATCTAATTTATTAGCCTGGGAAACATTCTCCACAGGCAGTTTTTTCTGAAAGTTTATCTTTCTGGTCGGCCTTCTCGGGTAAAAATAAACATCGCCCCCCCCCCCAGCGGTCGCACACTTCTTTCTCCACTTTAAACTCCCCTTAAGTTTAAGTAAGGCCTTGACATACTGTATTACTAGTACTCTCCATCTTTGGCTGTATTTTGCCATTTCCAGTCAGCGTTTGTCGTCTGTACTAGCCCTGTCCCCTAAGGCCCTAGTACTGCCCCCTAAGACCCTAGTACTGCCCCCTAGCGGTTTTTGTTGTCACGACAATCGCTCACCTCATTCTCGACTTTGAGCGACTCGTTCTCCTCCAGCAGTAGCACGTTGTCCTCGGACTTGAGCGCGAGCTGTCCCGTCAGCCGCCCGATCTCAGCCGCCTTCTCGTTCATCATCCGCAGAACAAGGTGCTTCGCAGGGTGGACCGTCCGGGCCTGCTTCAGTTCGGCAGTCAAGGTGGTCACCTAGGGTAAAAAAAATTAGTTTAGTTATTTTAGTTGAAACAATGAGCTTCCAGACTACTTGAATGAAGGTTAGACATCCAGGTGAACAATATTGGAAAACTTATCAAACTCTACTGGTGGATAAATTACAGGGATCACTTTCGGACGAAAAATTTTGGTGACGTCCCCATAATTTATCCAGAAGTTAAGTTTGATTTGTCTTTGAAGTTACAAGGATACTTTTCCTTTGGGCCAGGAGCTACTAAAATTTCTTATTCGATGGGTGAAAATAAAACCTTGGACCTTTATGCCTTCAGTTGCTTCAGCCAAAACGTGTTTGAAGTGATAATGAGGTGAAAGGTGTAACTGTAGGTGTAAACTTTACCTTCGGGACCAGTGTCATTTGAGATGTAGCCGAGAAATTGTACAGTTTTTGTTGTGTTTACAAGGCTTTTACAACATCCGAACACCTTGCCACAGAAGTGCTTCAACGCTTAAATCATCGTAGCAGATTCCACTACTTTTAACGCTGATGATGATTTTATATCACTACGATGCTCTGAATTTCATATTTCTCACAGCAAAGTTGAAGTCAGATAAAGTCAGAAAAGTACATGTTTGGCATAAAAACAGCACAAACTATTATATCCAAGGACGTCCTTGTTATATCTGGATGTGGGAGCTGCTAAGGAGGCTAATTAGCACAGTAGAAACCCGCAATATTCAGGTCCAAGGCGCTAATTGAAACTTCAAACGAGCAGAAACACAGCCTGTCACCGAGCAGTGTGATTAACAGACTTCTGATGCGGCGGCGTTACTAGTAATTTTTTCGGGGAGCGACGCGAGCTATGCCGCGGAGAGAATGTTTTCTTTGACTGACTTTGCCGGGGAGAGACGGTTTCCGCGCATCTTGATACAAAACCTTCCCTCCGCGGCATAGCTCGCGTCGCTCCCCGAAAAAAAATTATTAACGTCACCGCATCAGAAGTCTGCGAATGAGGCTAGCCTGTCACCGAGTCGCGTGATTATCGCATGGCGCCCAGGTGAGAGCCGGGAGAGGCGTCGGTCGCGAAGCGGTCGGCAAACAGTCGGGTGTTACGTGATAATTAGCACAGCGGTATGTCGTGAAACTAATTAATCAAGGATAGGCAAAAAGAATATTGTATTTCGTCCGTAAAAAGTTATTTCAAAAAGACGGAATCGAACTAAACCTGTGCAAAATTTGATCCAAGATTCTTGCGTTGTAAGTAGAAAGACCCCCCCCCCTCCAAAAATATATACTAGTACTGCAGAAATTTCAGGCTCAAAATTTGGTTTAATCCGCTGCGTTGAAAATGCGTGCCGACGAAATTTAAACGAACGAAATTATCCAGTCTTTTTGGCCGATCTCCGCTACTTTTCCTGAAACCTAACAAATTATGGCGTGGGACGTAAGCAGAAAAATGGCGCGCCACGCGGCAGTAGCGGACCACGTGACGACGCCAACCTCAGTAATCCCCACAACAATCGCAGATCGACTCGAGATATCCGAGCATACAGGACCGACACACCACACCCTGTACAAACCCTCATGGTCCGCTAAAATCATCATTCACAACCTACACTTACTACATGTACATGTACAATAAACATTACTATAAAATTGCCGTTTGATGTCGCCTTTGGTACGCCAAAGGTACGAAGACAACGTGACAGAAAATTATACTCTTGCGTAACTTGATCTCACGGGATGAATAATCACTTATATTCCCAAGTGAATCAATTAGATGTTGTCTTTTGGTAGAGAAGCAGGTTCAAGAGCGAGCGCACATAGAAAACACCACTTTCTAAGCAATCTCAGTAGCGGAGAACGCTACATTATTAGAAATGCGACCTTTGGACATCATAGAGTAGTCTGTATGGCAGGCCATCTGATAACAGGTGCGGCGCGCCTTTTTTGTGCAAAAATCAACATTCCTCGACAGAAACTCGAAAAATGCGCTAAAAAGCCATCGTTAGTCCCTTCTATATCATTCTAGCAAATAACTAGCATTCTTAACGGTATGATAGTTACCATATCTTAAAAAAACACCTACCTGTTCTTCCAGAGCCATGATCCTATCGTACATGTCGCTCTCTTCACTAACGCTGAACTGCGTACTGCTTGAACCGCTGCCGCGGCTGGATGTGGACTCCCCAGCGCTGCTCCCGGTAGACCCTAGCCGGGGCCGGTGGCGATGCCGCCGCGGAGGGCTAGGGGGAGGGCGTGCAGGCCGCTTGATCGCCGACGATCCGCTACGGACGAGCGGGGGACGGCTTCCCGAGGTCTGCCTCCTGGTCTGACTCGGCTCCATGGCTCTGATGTGGACGAGAAGAACGTAGAACAAGAAAGTTCCGAGAAGAGGGAAGCAGAAGAACAAGGCTATGGCGGCGAACCCCGCGCGTCTGTCCGGTTCTCTCTCGTCCGATTCCCGTGGAATAATAGGAATAATCCAATCCGTCTGCTGCTCACCGAGTTGGTTCAACTTGGGCATATGCTACGGAATGTCCTCTGCTTCTAGAAATCACTGCACGGTCTCAGAAAAGTCCTTGTACAGGTAAATATTACACCAGCGTCCCCAGATCGACCTTCCCTGCCGCTTGTCTGCGCGTCTGTACACACACACGGATGCTGGGAAGCTGGGAGTTGTCTTGGCGCCAACACGGACGCGTCCCCCCACGGGAGTCGCCTATTGTTTCTCGCCATGCAAATGAGATTGTTTGTTTTGCATTTCTATCAGCCCGATCGGGGTAAAAATGGCTGGACGATTTCTGTCTGGCAGAAGTTGTCTTCAAAACCTGCTGCAATTTACTTGAGACCTGGTGGAAGATCGCGACTTTTGCAAGAAAATGAAGAGAGAAAGAATAACGAAACGCAGGAGCTCCACTGTATCTTTTGCGTTTGGTGCTGTCCAGATCCTCTACTCTCCAAGCAGAGGTTTGGGTTATAGCTTTTGTTTTGCGTGCTTTTAGCTTTTTTATCGTGCTTTCCTTTCTGCACTGGTATATTTTTTTTACACCAATCCCAAAAATAAAGAGATACCAATGCAAAAATCGTGGCAAGATAATGATTTTACCGATAAAAAAAGCCTAAAAGTAAGCCAAAACCCAAACCTCTGCTTGGAGAGTACAGATCCTCGAGCTCATGCATATATATGAGGCGCGGACCATGAGCCCGTATGCTCCACACTTGGTAATTAATTCACCTATTATGTCCACAACGAGATAACCGCACCTCCAGGTAGCACCATTGTTTCTGACTGTATTGAACTTCGTGGATCGCATTGATGACCCGGCAAACATATTGTGTATTTGCGAGTCTGGGATCCTCAAACACACATCGCGTTTTTGTCGTAGGCAAATTTTGTCTCTTGTTTCTTACAAAGAGGGTTGAAAGAAAGGTGCGAAGACATGCGGAGTTGTAAATCCAGGCTTTGTATTTAACTTCTTAGTGCTACTTTATGCCGAAAGTGGTGAAAAAAGACAGATGTTGCATAGTTTTTCTTTATGTAAAACACAAAGGAAAGGTCGACGGTAAGGAAAATTCACACTTTGAGAAAAGGATTTGACGAAACAAATCAGTACTAAGCAAACGTGCGTCGGAATAGCGGTAGCCACCGGCAAATATTTGCCATTACGGAGCCCAAACATAAATTCCTGCGTACAAAATAGTCAAGGACACAAAACTTCTTCGAAGACACATTAAAGTGACCACCTTAAAACGTGGAACAATTGGCCACTGGAACTACTAGTACTTACAACGAAGACGTCAAAACCCCCAGTAATGTACGTAGGGACATCAGATTGATCTGAGCAAGGATTTGAGATAGTGTTTCCATGGATAGACTAGGAATATTTTACAATTTTTTACGTTTATCTCTGTGTTTCTTTGCAATTAGTCTTACTTTTCGGACAAAAGTTATATGCAAGTAAAAAGCGAGGATCATTCACCCCTCAGTAAATCTAGAAAAACAACCATTTCACCTGCTGGACTCCTCACATTTCACCACTTCTGTTTGCTTATGTAAAATTCGTCTGTTGTTTTAGCACTTGCCGGCGAAATTTGATCTGTGCCAGTTCCGGTCGTCAAAAGATCCTGGTTTTTATCTGGACTGACCCAAACGCCGCTTTGTAGAAATCTACATCAATTTTTCATTCGCACGATGAACTGTTAGACTGGAGTCTTCAAGCTTTCAGTGCCTAAAAAGTAGCGTTAGGGTAAATAATAGGAAAGAAGGGTCATCCAATTTGACTATCTCTAGAAAACTGACTCCTCGGGCCAATTATTCACCTAATTTTGTTAAGTTCTGCATTTCAGTAGCCTCGACTAACAGGCGCTTCATGTAGGCTCTATTCATTGAAAGAAACAATGGTCTAAGCTGCACACAGGATGGGTCACAATAAGGAAGAGAAACAGGATTAATCCTTTGGTGCTGCCGTAGACCAGACTGAATACACACACTTGTACCGGTCACGACAAGACACACCTGGGATGATGGCCAGTCTCATTTGGACTCGGAGTTGCCAAGGGGATAAAATCTAGGTTTAGCTACTTACTTCTTTTATTTTACCTACTTACATCTTTCGTGTTGCAAAGAACATTCTGGTGATCACTTCTTTAATTCCTACTGTAGATTACTTAGCTAACACTTAACAAAATCTTTGTCTCAGCAGGGATTAACTCAAAGGCTGTTAGTTATTACCAATTAGTATGAACAAATCAAGTTTCCACAATTACTTAGCACCGATTGTTCGCTTTGTAGTTCAGGTACTAAGATACTAGTAGTAAGAATATTCTTTAGCCTGGGTACTCCCCCGTAGTTACCGCTGGCTCTTCCTTTCCTTTCACTACCACTGTGGTATGCAGACTCAATGGCAGACTAGAAGATAATTTGTCACATTTCTCACAGCGTTACAGAACAGAAGTGTGACGCCTCGCACGAGATGAAAAGAACTCGAGAAGAGGTGCGAGCCCAAAGGTGTGACTTGATTAGTCTTGTTGTGACTGGCCACTCATGTAGCTCACTTACTAATGAGACAAAGCGAGAAAAGCCAGAGAAACAAAAAGTGAGGTTCTAACCTCCTTGGCTGAGATAACGAAAAGACGAAAGCAAAGGAAAAATGCAAAAACCTATTTAAAAAAAGGCAAAAAGAAGGGAAGAAAGAAAGAAAGAAAGAAAGAAAGAAAGACACGGTAACAAGCTGTACGTGTGTGCATTAGCATTAGCAAGGAGGTTAAAAACATATGATTTACTAATTAGTAACTTCCCTGGTATTAGCAAGGACTCCTCTTTTACCTCCATGGTATTAGCAAGGATTAGGCAGACCTTCTGGCCTCTTCCAGACTTCGGGAGGCGGCTGGAAAGAGTAGAAATTGGCCAAATAGAGAGAAAACATGCCAAGGGAGTTCCATGTTATCTATCTCTATTTGGCCAATTTCTACTCTTTCCAGTAGCCTCCCGAAGCCTGGTAGAGGCTACCGTCCTTCTCCACTCCGCCATGCTAATCCTGGTTTTACCGGCATTTCTGCCCGGTTCTATCTCCCCACAATACCCGGCTCCACCCAGTACCGGCCCCGAGTGTTTGCCCGCTCCTGTGTGCTATGTTTGCCGAGGCGTGATCCATTGTTCCAGCATGAGAGATAAGGGGACACCCTCTACTCGTACCGGGCTTTACTAAAGGCTGGTGGATAATAGAGTCGGACAATAGAATGGACGATTGGTTTCTCTAGTCCAAGCGGATCCGGCTCATTTTCAGGGTTTTACAGAAATGCAATACTGCATACTAGAAAGGAGGACTAAATGCTGATTCCTCAAATATTTGTGTTTTTTTCCGCACCTTGTCATGTTCATTGGTAAGTTCTTACCACTGTAAGTAACATTATATAGTGATCTACTTTATTTTAATTTATTATATTCTACTAGTATGTACTAGTATACTAATCATCATTTTTCTAGGCAATTCATTTCGAGTAATGAAAGTTATTTCCTTATCATTTCGCACGAAATTATAGAAAGTGTGTCTTGATCGGTCCAAATATCACAAAACACTGATGTACATGTTTGAATCGTGATTATTCTACTGTCGGAAATGCGACGACACTATGTAAGTATCAGGAGTGCCACCAGCTGTTGAACCTTGACCTTCGACCTTTTCAACCCGATCGTACGATGCAGCGTGCGCGAGAATCAGCCCGTCCGGTAGGTCGATTTTAACAGTGTTCGTAAACATAGCTGGCTTCTAGCCTCCTTCGCAGTCTTGTTGGGCGTGGGCGTAATTTTTGTGCGCGACGCGACAGGAGCGCGGAAACCTTCTCTCCGTGGCAAAAGTCCCTCGGCAGCAAATCGTCCCTCGCGGCGGCATATTACTCGCGTCGCGCACAAAAATTACGCCCACGCCCAACAAGACTGCGGAGGAGGCTAGCTGGCTTCTAGCTTTGAACAACGCACAAACACGAGTTGGGACGTGATAATGATATACCTGAGCTTGAGCTCACAGTCACATGTGAGCAAACAGTACGAATTACGATATTAATAATTGAAAGATCACAATGCAAAATTCCGTTGTTACTTACTCAGTTACTGTCACTCAGTATGTTCACCTGTGATAAAACAGAACACTATTCTGTGTTTAATAGACCCTTTGGATTAAAATTTTCAATTTATTGTTGGTACGGACATTTATTTGTTTATTTATTGCCTAATGTTCCACTAGTACTGTACATAACACTGTAGCAAGGAGGTTATATGGAAATAGTACAGCTACAAGAGTGACATGCACATCAACATTGGAGATCCTGTTGAAAGATTAGTTCAAGTCTTCCATTCCTTCATTCCCCTGTAGCTCTGCCCACAGTCGCGACTGGGCGTGGTTTGAGTCTCGTGCGAACCCCGTGACATTTATTAGATTTTATTTATTTATTTATTTATTGGCAAATACACCACACTGATCTCCCTTCAGCAGCGTGGCTGATTTGTGAAATTCAACAATACTAACTTATAGGATATACAACCAAAGTGACTTGGAGTTACTGTAGAAAGATTCAGTGAAAGTCTTCCATCCTTCATTCCCCTGTAGCTCTGCAAACTGTAAGTTTAAAGAGTGGGCGTGGTTTGAGTCTGGCGCCGACCCCGTGACAACACAGGTGGGCAAACAACAGGTGAAGTTAACGTCCCCGCAAGAAGCGTGGCTGATATATTTATAACCATTCATAGTGGAGTTACTGTAGACTAAAGATTCAGTGAAAGTCTTCATTCCGTCATTCCCCTGTAGGTACTGGGCGTGGTTTAAACCCGGCACCGACCCCGTGACACCACAGGTGGGCAAACAACAGGTGAACCTTAAGGTCGCCGCCCGAACGTTTCACTTCCGTGTAGAGACTGCAGGGTCCACAGCAGGAGGAACACACAGGTAAAACTTCATGCACGGTTCGGAGATTTTATCTCCAACCTAGCTGATTCATTTGTAGGTAAGGAACGATCAAATTTAGCCTCTACCAGTACCAGGCTTCGGGAGACGGCTGGAAAGAGTAGAAATCGGTCAAATAAATATAACATGCCGGCAAAATGCACTCTCTAGCCGACCAACTCCCTCCGCATGTTATCTCTTATTTGACTAATTTCTACTATTTCCGAGCGTCTTCCGAAGCCTGGTAGAGGCTGGATCAAATTGGCCACCCGGGTTTGTAGTAACTATAATTGTGGCGTATTGGATACTACCTGTCCAATTTGATACTTCCGAAGACTTAGTAGTTTCATCCGCTAGGTAGAACATAGGGTGTAGGAACCTTTCTTTTTTCACAACCAGGAAGACTCACCTTGCTTACTTTGATACTGTCCTGCAACAGTTTTGCTAAATTGATACGGTACAACTTGTCTGGCCAATGTGATAATGTATTACAATGTATTATATGTATTGCAGCCACTGTTACTGTATTGCCAATTTGATACTGTATTGCCGATTACATACTGTCTTGCCAATTCACTACTGCCTTGCCAATTCGATACTGTACTGTATTTCCAATTTGATACTGTATTGCCAGTTCGATACTGTCTTGCTAATTTGATACTGTATTGCCAATTTGCCACTGAATTTGATTCTGTATGTATTCCAGCCACCAAAAGATTTCCTTGGAAAAGACTAGTACCTGAGTTGATCATGTCGGGCTCCCACGGACTGACCATCCCCTTTGCGACGACGTTTGACACCAGCCAGATGCGGCCGGAGCTGACCTGGCTGCACGACCCGCACGAGTTCATGCTCAGGGCGGACGGCACCAACGGGATAGTAGTCACGCCGGTGAGGTTTAAAGTTAACTACCCGCCTTAAGGCATGTTTTACCTACAGGCATGTATCCTGCAAAATTCAACTGCAAAATTCAACTGCAAAATTCAACTGCAAAATTCAACTGCAAAATTCAACTGCAAAATTCAACTGCAAAATTCAACTGCAAAATTCAACTGCAAAATTCAACTGCAAAATTCAACTGCAAAATTCAACTACGAAATTTAAAATTACCCAACCTTCGCTCGCTCCCCCGGCAAATTGTTGACCTTGCAAGTTTTTGTAGGTCCACTGTCCATTACCCCGTAGGAATGTGTGGTGGAGGCTAATAGCTAGCTAGTTAAATCCATGGTTAAATTACCTGTATGACAAGCGGAAGTGTTAGAACTTCCGTGTGTCTCTGACTCTCTGTGGTCCGAATCAGTCAATGTGGGTTGGGTCTCTTATTTTTCTGCGTCTTTTCATTTACCTTTCATGCTTGTTTATTGGGAGACTTTGGAACGTAGGCGGAACAAAAACATTTCACTTGAAAAGGTCCAAACAACCCGAAACCATACGTCAGTCTGGTCCCAGAGTTACCATAGAGATACCCAACCACTTCAGCCTTATGGGTCTCATCATCATCATCATTCATCCTCCGTAGAGGTGGAGCATACAAAGTTAGTTCGCCACAACTGTCTGTCATACATCACTGAGAAAAGTTCATGTCCCTCCAAGCCAGTTTCAGTTTCAATAAGTTTCTTAACTGTTATGTTTGGGCGTCCAACTCTTCTCTTACAGGTATCAGGGTTCCAGAGTAGAAGCCTACTGGCTGGTTCTTCACTACGTATTACATGACCGGCCAAGCTTAGTCGTCGACATTTGACTACTGAAGTTACATTTGGTAGCGAACCGTATAACTGTTCATTAGTAGTGTGTTTCCACCATGGTGTATTGAAAACCACTCGCAACATCTTCGTGTATGTTCCGTTTAGTTTTCTAGAATGTGACATATTCACATTATGGGTCTAATGACTCTATACACTTTTTATCTTACCTCACAATTTAATATTTTTGTTATAGTTATACAATGTTTAGAGACTGTACACACAACACACCTAATGTCTGACTCAGTGACCTTCAGACTTTTCTCGATCCTGCTCTGTAAACATGTAGTTTAGATTTGCAAGATAAGACATTCCATGGCTCACGGCAAAACCGTGAGAACGTAACGTTGAACGTTAACTGGTGTTTGCTGTAAACTTGTGGACTATAATCTTGTCTCATAACTGGAGTCTCGGCTCCACCATAGCCTCCTGTGCAGGCCCCGCGGCGGTGGGGAAGAGTCTTTAACGCGTTATTTTAATATAGCCGGCCATTCTACATAGCCGTGGGCTGAATGGAACCTTCTCTCGGCGGCTATGTAGGATGGCCGGCTATATTAAAATAACGCGTTAAAAACTCTCTCCTACCGCCGCGGGGCCTGCACAAGAGGCTACATCCACCACCAGCCAGGCTTTCCTAACGGGGCAATGGAGCGTACAATTCGGTAAAATAGGGTACTAGTAAATAATTGGCCAGGAGAGTGGGTCGCCGTAAGAGTAACATTTGCCCTAGGCCTTGTTTGTCAGTTCAGTTCCTCACTGAAGATTCACGCATGTTACATTAAGTATTCATGCTTAAATTAACTCTCAAATGGAATTTGTGACTAATGATTGACGTGTTTATGTGTTTATTGATATGTTTATTTGATTTTCTTCGTTTCAGAAAGAGAAGAGTGACTTCTGGAGGAAGTAAGTACCCAAGTGAAACTAAATTGTTTTATTACCGGTTTCAGCTAGTTAGGTGTTGTAAAAACAATCGTAAAACGCCGAAAATGAACCAGATCCTTTTTTTATTACAACTATCCTTACATCTCCCTAGAGGTTAGTATATCAGTAATCTATAGTTCTATTATACAAAATAAATTTGGCAACCGAATAGATTCTCTGCCAGACGTTTCAGATGGCATCCACTATCTTTTAGATTTATTAATGATCTTTCTTCACTAGTTATTGGGAATAATTGCCTCAGTATTTAAAAAAAAACATTGAACATGCGCAGTCACTGATGAAAGATGGTATCTGAAACGTCTGATTCCATGAGAAAATGTGTATAGTTACTTGATTTACTAGTACCCGTTCAGTAGCCTGGGTGCCATCCTCCCAGTAGTTTCCGCCACCACTCCCTAATGTCGCTGGCTTCCATGTGGTAGCTAGAACGACTACTACACACACTTCTGGCTACGGTTATAGGGTTAGAATTTTCATAATCTTCCTGGAGATCAGTATATAATTTTTGTTTTAACCGTTCCCGCCGTGCAGAACGTACTACACCCCCGAGCTGATCGCGGATAACGGCCACCTGCTGTACGCGCCCGTCACTCAGCCCAACTGCGTCATGGAGACCATGTTCGAACTGTCAGCCGTCAATCAGTTCGATCAAGTAAGCTTAGAAAGATTACTAGTAGTATAATCTCTCCCCGTTCCCACCCCGCAGAACGTACTACACCCCCGAGCTGATCGCGGATAACGGCCACCTGCTGTACGCGCCCGTCACTCAGCCCAACTGCGTCATGGAGACCATGTTCGAACTGTCTGCCGTCAATCAGTTCGATCATGTAAGCCTAGAAACAAGTTGTAGATATACATGTAGATAGAATAGATAACGTTTTTTGAAAGGTTCAAAGTCCTTAGGACGGCCGGGCACATTGTCATTGTGCTCCGTACAATGAACCTACATGTACATTGATTTTTGATTTGCAGACATACTGTACGTAGCGTCTATCTTCTCTGTCCCGACCAGTGGGAGATTAACCCAACTAGTCATTGAGTTCATTTGATTCAAACTAGTTCGAGATCACTTCCACTTGCTCTTAACACAAGTTCGATGTACAACATTAGATGTTATCTATAGCTACGTAACCATTCCATCCTTCAACACAGGCAGGCCTAATGGTGCGATATGACCACGAACACTGGCTGAAAACGGTGAGTCTACTGACCCGTTTATTACTAGTTTGATAACCTCAACTTTGGAATTTCGACTCCATGATAAGCCGACCAGAATTTTCCTTTTTTTTAAATCGCGTTTCATGTTCAGTTGCCAGGACGTCCCTAACCGAAACTCTGGTCACTATTTCACCTATGCAGGGTTTGGAGTATGTTGACGGCCACTTCCGGCTGAGCTGCGTGGTCACCAACGTGTACAGTGATTGGTCCACGCAGGACTGGCCGTCGGGAAGGCTGTCAATCAGGGTATATCGCCAAGGCAACAGTTATGTGGTGAGGATACGTTGAATTTTGAGTTTCAGAGCTGCTTGTCTATATTAAGGCCACACTGACTTGATTTTAAGAATGAAATCCGCTTATGAATTAAACTTTTCAAGTTGGGTACAACGGACAGCTAGGGACATTAGGGAGCGGGCGAAAACTTGAGGATGGCACCCAGGCTTAAAAATTTTGATCTAATACAAAGAATTTTTCTCAACTAGAGCTCTCTCAGGTCTTGCTCAGTAGACTGACCCAATGAGACTTGTCACGTCAACACTGGGCCAAAGGTACTACTGTACTAGTATCTGGTAAATGATGTCGTCCCCAATGTATTGATATATTGTTCCTCTTTTTTTAGAAAAAAGGAATTGCCTGTCCTTGAACTACTGATAAAGTTATTCTAATTTTTCTTGTTTCGTTCATTACCGCGTTTGTTCCAGGTGGAAAACAAGGCCCACGACGCGGACAGGTGGAACTTTATCCGGATCCTCCGTCTTGAGCCCCCGGCGGCGACCTCGGGCGCACAGGGGACGACCTCGGCCCCACAGACGGCCCTGATGGGCCCCATGGCCTGCGCGCCCACGGCCCTCGGCGGCAGTGTGCTCTTCCACTACTTCAACGTGCAACATTCGGATGGCTACCTCCAGTACCACCACAACTAGACACTACCAAATCCAGAATGGGTGAATAAGCACTGGTCATGGGTTTTTTTGCGCGAATCTGCGTACTTTTGGGTGATTTCCATTGTTCTCAATAAAAATCACCCATTTGTTGTTTTCTTTGCAATGGGTGAAATTTTGCGCATTATGACCAAATTATGCAAGGAATGGGTGAATTTTCCAGTGTTTACTTTGCACTCGATTACAATGGAAAATTCACCCAGATTCACCCATCTTATTGAACACCTCTGGTAATAGGTGTCATATTAAACTGCACAGGCACATGCCTCATAATGTTGCAGTGCTGACTGGCAGTCTTTTAGTGGGTACTGGATTTTGAAGATTTATCTAGTCAGTTGAAAATCCCTACAACTCCAAAGTACATGTAAACACATGTTAACAGTAAAGTGGAAGAACCTCCATGGTTGAAATGAAATTGATTTAGATAATGGCAAGAATGTCCAAAAATTTACAAGCTTTACCACCCTGTGTTGCCTTGGATTCTGTGTTCTTTGCATAGATTGATCTACACATAGTATGTTCAACCCTATGATTATAGTATGAACCAAACACTGACCCTGGGAGATATCCCTTCGATACATTTTTCAGTCAAGTGGAGTTTACAATCTTATGATTGATGGAGCCTGATTCATTGCCAATGTCTTGAAATTCAATTTGTGGCGTATACCACATAAGAATCGCAACATGAGTTAGGTAATAATCCCAAATCATGTGTTAAAAATTGCCAAAAATTGCACTCTGTATTGCCAAAAAAATATGATTTTCACTTTGAAAATCCTCACCAAAACGTTCACCACTTTTGGAGAAGCTGTAATTTATTCATATTGTCATGCAGGTCAAGGTGCGAAGGCTATTGTTCCTGTATGCAAATTCAACATTCCAATGACAACATATATGAAAGGCTATTGTTCCTGTATGCAAATTCAACATTCCAATGACAACATTATGAATGGTCCTGTAGCAGCACAATTGTCAACAGTGAAAGACTTGCAAACTTATCTTACGATTTCAAAACCGCGATTGAAATGAAATCAATTTATATGACTCAAGACCATTACCAACTCGGCCCAGTCAACTTGGCCCCAAGTCAACTTTCTGAAGTGGTTTCCACCAAGAAGGTTTAAAATGTTGTATTTTACCTTCTTGTTCCCGTGTATTGCTGCAGCCAGACACATATTCCTCATACTAGTAACAGCCATGGGATTGGCACAGGTCCGGAAAGGTAGAAGAACATAACTACGTAGTGAACAACGAGTGCCAGCACACTGCCACTAGCAGTCAGCTCAATATTCAACCCATGAAAAACAGCCAGCGTACTAGTCATCTTAGCACTAGTAAATTGCTGTTTGTTTTACAATGGGTGAAACCTTGAATTCACCCAGAATTCACCGTTTTGTCATATAGGTGCAATTTTTATTTTCACCCAGTATATTTACATGGAAACAATAGCAAATGGCACCTTGGAAATTCACCCAGATTCCCAGAAAAGTACGCAGATTTACGCAAAAAAACCCATGGCCAGTGCTTTTTCACCCATTCTGGATTTGGTAGTGAGATAATCATTTCCACAACTCTGTATGTGCTTTAGGGACAGTGCTTATTCACATTTTTATAGCTCTTGGGCCACACAGGCCACTACTGTAGGTGGCTATAATATATAGCTAGTCCACTGGTAGTGGTGTGTGTTCAACTCCCAACTCTCCCATGGTAAGACAGTAAGAGTAGAGTGCTAAGCAGGGAAGGTAGTATATGATCCGTTTACCACCACCACAAGCATAAACCAAAACATGATAAAATTGTTAGAATGTATGCTTGTTCGTGTTTTCTTTTTGCGAAGGCATTTTGGGAATATTGTCAGGTAATGATGAGGGCATTGTAATGAATTCTTTCCCCAGAAATTGCTTTTTTTACAAGATATTGTGTATACCTCTTTCAATGAAGAAACCTACTATTATAATTGTACATAGTAATTAAAGAAATAATTCAATTGTCTGAGTCGTATCTTTTATTTTTAATGTACTGCCATCTTTTGTGTCATCAATACAGTTTTTACTCCAGAAAAAAAAACATGTACAGGGCTTATATTGTGATTAGTTCCACATAAAATGAATGCTAAAATCAAATAAAAAGTTTGTTGCATGAAAGTATTACTACTACATCCTTGGTGATAGCGCAATACTAATAGACATTGCAAAGAAATTCAGTATTTTCTTCACTCAACTTTCCTCCACAATACAATAGTACAAGTCATGTACAATAGAATATAATAGCTCTCTAACAACAGTGAGAAGATATGGTCCCATCTTACTGCACAGATGATTACAGTTTACTACGTGTACTTTTCCACTTGTTCCTTAGTTACTAGCCTGGGTACCATCAGGATTTTGCTCTGCTGCAAATTTTTCTAGCATGGCGGAGCAAAATCAGAATGGTACCTAGGCTATTATTAGTTACAGCTTATTTAAAGTTGCTAGTCTTGTACCCAGTCCTCACTGGCCCACTTGGGGGGTGGGGTCTTATACCCCCAGCCCTCCCCCTCATAACTCAGGGCATGCAGGTACATGACCAGCTCTTCTGGGGTCGGGTCACGACGACTGACCTTACACTCATCACAGATGGGGTCAACGGTTGTGACCCCCTGACTTTTCCCCTTCGACCCCTGCTCACTGTCTTGAGCATCAGGGCCAGTGCTCTGTTCTGTTGTGGATGTACATGTGCTAACTGTGCTCGCTGTAACCCCCTGACCCTTCCCCTTTGACCCCTCCTCTCTGTCTGGAGTGTCAAGGTCAGCGTTCTGTTTTGAGGGCTCCTGTTCTGTTGTACCAGTACCAGATGTACCAGTCTGTGCAGTATCAAGTGAAGATTCACTGCCTTTAGATTGTCTCTCAGTCTCCTCAGTGACAAGCTTTTCAAGAACTTTGTTCATGCTGGATCCCTCGATGCCCCCCTTCCCCCTATCCGCCCCCCACGCAGCACTGTTGTACAGAGGGTCATTAACAATCGGATGGCCGAGGTACTGAAGGTGTACACGGATCTGGTGCATTCGGCCCGTCTTTGGGAAACACCGCACCACGCTCGACCGCCCGTTGTAGCTCACTCTCTCGAACGTCGTCTTGGCGTCCTTCCCTTCCGGACACACGCGGCAGACCCCCAGCTTGTGCTTCACCGCGAAGATCGGTTTGTCGCACTCCACCTTGTCAGGAAATTCCCCCATCACTCTCGCGAGGTACACCTTCTTCACCTCCCTGCCTTTCACCTGTGCAGCAAATAAAAAAATGTTGCATTTTCACTACATGTATGATCCTATTGTAAGAATGACAGTCGTAATGTATTCTTTCCTTGTGATGGGATTTTTACTGATACTGTGTTTAATTTGATTGTGTAATTGGCTTTCTTGTACCCAGGGAAGTCCAGCCTTGTCAGCTTTAGTACATTCCTCAAGTTTTGCTACCGTGCTAAAGCTAAGGCTGGACTCTTTGAAACCGTTAAAACCCTCCCGAAACTTTGCGGTGACGGCTCTTGAATAGGGCATATCTTGCTGGTAGTGGTAGGGCTATATGTAAGAATACGAGCAAAATATGACCTATTCAAGAGTTACCACAGGGACCTGAAACTCAGTGTAACGTTCTGTAACATCTGCCAATACATTGATGAAACCAACCTGTGCGTCAAGCCTGTGCTTGGTCTCCAGGTTCTTAGCAAAGATGAGAATCCCCGATGTAAGCCGGTCCAGTCGGTGGATGGGGTGTAAGTTCTCGAACCCATGCTCCTTACCCAGGACGAAGATCACCGAGTTGTGTCTGTAGCCTCCGCACGGATGGACAGGCATCGAGGCAGGCTTGTTGATGACTACAAGATCGTCTGTCTCTTCTACGATTTCCACAGGGTCTGCTACAACTGGGGGCTCGTGGCGGTGTACAGTGTTCTGCATAAAGTCGTTGTCTTTTAGGACCGTGTCGAGTTTGACAGGTTCGCCGTTTAGTAGAAGTCGTCCCATCTTGATGGCTTTTTTGTAGTGCTCTGGCGGGTGGGCACGAAACTCACTGCTAAAGATATCCATGACAGTTCTACCAAGCCAGCGCCCCTTGGCGAAAGCCTCGAAGGTGAAGAAGTAGGGTTGTACTTTGCGGAGGCCGTTTTCGATGTAGCTGGTGGTCTCGTTAAACATGACCTGTAAAGGAAATGAAAATATTTTTATTACAGTGGGGTGTCGCTAGACGACTGACCAAAAATGTCCAGACTATGCATGAGAAAGCTTTGAACAACTCCTGCAATTAACTGTGCAAAGATTAGGTGTAACACTGTTAACTAACGGGTCGTTCAGTATAGCTAGCTGCCGCGTGCCTGCGAAGCTGGTGTGTTACGCCGAAGGAAGGTTATACAGATACAGAAGCTGGTGTGTTAGTAAGTGTGTTACGCAGGAGGGCGGTTATACCGGCTATACAGATACAGGAGCTGGTGTGTTATGCCGAAGGGCGGTTATACCGGCTATACAGATACAGAAGCTGGCATGGCGTACGTGTTACGTGGATGGGCGGTTATACCGGCTATACAGATACAGACACCATACAGACCTGGTCGAATCCCACCGTCTTCCGGGTAGGCTCGAAGACTTTGTGTTTATAGTTGTGGCGACTCTTGTCCTTGGGCGAGTCCATTTTGGCACGCTTGGAGGGGCCAGCTTTTTCTGAAGGCTGGCGTTTCCCTTTGGCGGTACTTTCCTTTTTGTCAGGTGATTTCTCCATGGCAAAGGCTGCACAAAACGAGCTGCTATAGCGCTGGGTTGACTTCAAATTCCTTCTTGGGGTAAAACACGTTTCACGTGAATAGGGCCTAAAGGTACCGGTGCTAGCCTTGGTGCTAGACGTCGAAACAGTTCGGCAAAATCCTGGGCGATAGCTACGAAAAACTACGCGGCAGAGAGGATACAAACTCGCACAGATCCTACCCATAGAAGCTCAGATTGCTGATACTTTGCGTAGAGTCTCCCTGTAGCTGATATCAAGGACTTGAACGGAAAAATATCAATGAAAATTTGCACCTTACAAATTATTTCGATGTGGGCGCCGCCATTTTGATGTGCTCGTCTTGTGGTGACGTCATCTTCTTAGAGCAAAAAAAAAAAGCCAAAGTGAAGTTTTAAAAGCAGTTGCATCCGTATTCTTCGTTAGAATTTGTGTTTTTTTTTACAAAAAGCAATAACAATCAACTTTATTGCGACCAGTTTTGTCGATTTTCGATGCCATTTCTTATATGCACATAAACTGATGACATCACCACAAGCGTGTAATCATGGCGGACGATTTTGACGACAGAGACGCGTAAGTTCGAACTTTTCATGTTTTTCCCGCCTTTAGTTTGACGTTTGTGGATTAGAACTTTAGTGATTTGTGTCTGAGTTGCGTTAGATACTGGAGAGATGAAGAAAGAGTCCTGTACAGGGATGGCTTTTGTAACATTTCACCGTTGAATGTACGTGAGCGTGTTGCCATGCTTTGTGCATGTGTGTGGGGAGGGGGGCATGTGTTTGTGTCTGCATCTGTATACCCAGTATGAAGAGCCAGAAAAGATGCAGACAGTGGTGAATAGATTAAAAAGCACGATGAACTTTGGTTGAACTGTTTAAGGTTCTCATTTCTTGTAATGATTTGGAAATAAATAGACTGTATGGATGCATATTATATATATATAGAGAGAGAGAGAGTAGTGATAGTAGTACTATTAGTACATTTATTTGCACCAAATTATAATTATGACTATGGTATTTTTCCCTCTGAAGGTTTGACGATGTTGGAGATGACTTGGATGATGAGGAGCCCCTAGATGAACTGGACAATGTAGAGGTATTATATCATCCCCTCTCTATCTAAATCTAAATATGGTCTCTCAGGGTCCATCATTTCAGGATGCTTCTATTCTTGTCATGTTTATGCAAGTTATAATTTGTTAATCTTAAAATGTTTGCAAAAAATTATGTTTTCATGGAAATACATAAAAGATATTGAATACTGCCACTGGTATAGCTTCAAGTTTATAAATGTATCATTCTATGTAGCAAAATGTTTTCCTGTTTTGTTACAGCAAGAAGGAGATGAGAACATTGATGTACTTCCTGCTGGAGGTAAGTTTAAATTTCTAACAAGAGGATTAAGAATCACTTTATAATCTGTGCAGCACTTTACATCATAATCATCATAGCAATGGAAAAAGGGACATGTATGTGTAGTAGACCATGTGAAATTTCAGGCATTTAAGTTGTACTTTTGATTTATCTACATATGGTGTAGAAAGGGCTTCTAACACGAAAAGAATGGGTACTGTAATACATGATAGGTCAGGTATCTTGTCTCTTGGTGATGATAGAGATCCATATAGAATATATTTCCTTCCTGATGTACGTTGTGGATTTCCCTCTCCTTAGATGGAGACCAGCCCCAACAGCTCCAGAAGATCACCACCCCTTACATGACCAAGTACGAACGGGCCAGAGTGCTGGGTACAAGGGCCCTACAGATAGCGTAAGTGTTGCATCTTTAGTGCCTTTATGTACTGTAAATCAGTTTGTGGAACTAAATGTTCCGGGTGGTGGCAGGTGCAGAAGAAAGTCGGCCAAGTATAATTGTTCATGGTAATGATAAATTTGTGGCACAGAAGTGACCGTGAAAACGAATATGAAAGTACTGCAAATATAATGTGATTACTGATTTACAGTATCATGATGTATATGAGCGATCACAATGATGCCCTATTGGCCAACAAGTGGTAGGCAATTTAAAAGTGGCTGATGGTTTGCTGACTTTCCTTTACATACCAGTATGTCTTCAAGTAATATGCATGTATGTGATGTAAACAAAGACAGCGATCACTTGTATGGCTCTGGAGTTTTCAAACCTCCTTCTACACCAGTTTCAATTCAGGCTGACACTACTTGCTACCTAAACTTCTCATTGATCTGCTTATAGTTTTGCACATAGTTATTACTATGATAGTAAAACAAGTTGATTTTTTCTCCAGCATGGGAGCACCAGTGATGGTAGAGTTGGAGGGAGAAACAGACCCCCTACACATCGCAATGAAGGAACTCAAGTAAGCATTAGATATACAGTATATTAGTATACATATAGCCTAGATAGTGAGTGATACATTTACATATCATGATTTGATGTAAACTAGTACCTACCCTGGCAATGTTCATCTTCTTTGAATTTTAAGCTTGTAAATGGAGGGCATTGTTGCAAAAAGTTTAACGCTTTTTCTATTTTTGGTCTTTTTAGAGTCAGAAAGATCCCCATCATCATCAGAAGATACCTGCCAGACGGGAGCTTTGAAGACTGGGGCATCGACGAACTCATCATTCTAGATTAACAACTGTAGTTTTTTTTTAAACAATGTGCTCAATTATTGTGCTGTATTCAGTAATTCATGCAAGCTGTATGTTCTTTTCTATGGGTCTTCCTTGTGTAAACTTGTCATAATGTATGTAGAATGTTACTAGAAGTATTGAAACTGTCAGCTACTAATATATCATAGTCGCAACTTGTGTAAGATATCTTCTGTGATGCATTGAAGCTTTTCATATTGTCAAAAGAATACAAGGAAGTGTATATAGCAGACTTCCACAATGATTCTTTGTTTTTTTTAGGAGGTAGCATTTCATTTATCTGTGGTTTGACATAGCAATACATGTATAGTGAGTTGTACCAAAAATCCAAAGGGACCAAACTTTTATAAAATCTCACACAAGAAAATTACAAAGGACTCGACTCAAGTGTAGAATATTCTTTTATTGAAAAGAACTGGAAGGCAACTTCTTATTCTTCCAACACTACATGTACAGTTGTATATCATCACCAGCAAGTAGTGATGCATACCTAAACCCAATTTTAGGTTCAGGTCCGGATTCAAGTCCAAAGCTTTAGGTTGAGTTCCCGACTTGTAAGTCCGGACCTAAACCCATGGCATATGCAAAATTGCATGTTGGCAACCTTGCAATGTTCTCTGGGTGAAACTTTGGCCACATAACATGGAGGCCGGTACTTGACGATGCCCGATGGCAATGTTTTCTTCATTTTGCAGCAAATATTTTACAATCTACGGAAGGTTTTAGATGGTTTGGAAAGAAAAGGGGTATGTGAAATGGTCTTTTATGGTAATGAGTCCGGACTCGGTTCTTGACTTTTAGGTTTTTTTGGACTTGAACCTAAACATTCTTACAAGTCCGGATCCAAGTCCAGTGAACCGGTATGCATCACTACCAGCAAGTCTCTTCCAAACGTCTCATGAGAATTCTTCATCAATAATAATAGAATTGCCTGATCCTATCTTTCAACCTAAATTAAAAACTTAAAATCTCAAATCCAAAATAATTCTGATTGGCAATGATATATACAACTTGTGCTTAATGCCACTCCGAAATCCACAGAGTTAAGATTTCAGCAACAGAGCTATGTTGACTGAAAAGGTAGTTGTTCCTGTGTAGAATTCAGAAAATCAAGACTAACAGTGAAGTCACATTTGCCATATGATTTTGATGCCTTAAGAGAAGTTAGAATTCTCGGGATCTGAGACAGCTTTTTTTGTAAAAAGACAGCTGAACTTAAAAGAATGATCTCAGTTTGCAATTGTACAACAATCATATGACGAATATGACTGGACCCTAAGGCAAGCAAAGTGCTTAAACCACTGCATGTATCAGAATGTGGTGAACAGAACATTCTGGAATGTTTTTGCGGACCAGTTGAAGACAAGTTGACGACTAGAATTCTCGTAATTTTACCAACCCTGTTCTACTTTCACTACTACTTACATCATCAGGCATTGCTTTTAACAATACAGCCCCACTGACAACACCTACATTATTTTCTCTGCATACCAGAGATATAAAGGTTAACATACAATCTTTAAGATAAACTTCAAGGAGCACAAAAACTACCAGAGTCAATCTGGACAGTTTCCAACAAGAGAAGGTGAACAAACTTAAAGAATTGCTATGAAACAAGTTTGACCTGCACAAGTTTGGACTCACACAAATTTTTGACTGCTTAACTCCAGTCTTTGTCAAGGAATGAGCAATCCACCGCTTCTGTGATGTCATGCAGATAACACACAACTCCGTCAGCATTGACAAAGACTGGAGTTGCACACTTGAAAATTTGAGTGAGTCCAATTTCTTGTGTTGGATATCGCGCAGTTCAAACTTGTTTCATAATGACTTCTACCAAGACAGATGAACTTTCAAGGTATTAAAAGAATTGCTTGTGAGTGACAGCTGTGATTGACAGCTGTCACATGGATGATGAAGGCAGCTCTTGTGCTGGAGGTGTTGTCATGGCAACGAGGTGATCAGGAGTCGGCAGGTTGGTCGTCTGCTGGGGGCTCGTACTGAGCAAGCTGTATTAAAACAAAGTGATGGAAAATAAGGACTGGGCTTAATGAGAGAGCTAATCTGCAGTTACATGTGAAAATCCATTATAAAACTAACAAATTTGTTTCTGTTCACACATCCACTTGATAGCCCAAAGCTGAGTTTCACTGTTATTTTGTGTACTAGTATAACAAGCTTTCCCCAGAAAAGATAACCTCTGTTGTATTACTTGTTTAGAATTTTGAAATTCGCTATAAAATTTGGCCCATTTCATGTTGTGCAAATGTCATGTTTCTGGTGGAAGTAAATATTTTGGTTCCATGCACCAGTGCACCTTTTCCCAAAATGAATTTCAAACCCTGACAGTAGTAACCAAAGATCAACACACAGGACAGAGACAAGTGGCGTGCTGCTATCAAGCCCCAGATGTACAGTGCAAGCACGTCTAACCCTCGGAAGACGGGGAACAACAGACGATAAACCGGACAGTGAGTGTGTGTGAGTGAGTAGTAAAAGTCTGTTTCCCCGACCTTAGCCTTGAGTTCAGCGTTCTCCTCGGTCAGCTGTTCCACCTTCTGCCTGGCCTCGGACAGCTCCAGTCTCAGGCCCTCCACATCGGCTGTCTCTGGGCTGCTGGCACCAAGGTGCTGTCTCAGGAAACTGCAATAATTTTCATGGTTAGCCTGATACTTTCAAGTCTATCACAAGATATAACAAAGTACTATAAGTCCGTCACAAGGCACAGTCTGGCAGGTACATGTACTTCAAAGAGACTTACTACCAAATAAGGAATGGCAATGTTTATTCAAAACATTAAGACTTTATTGGTTAACTGTTAAAACATAAGCTGTGGCAGTGAACTTCTAATAAATTGTATCACTGTGACTATCATGAACTAAACTGCATTTTGTTGCACATACATGTAACTGTTTTCCATCTGTTATATTCTCGAGCTACATGATAAGTTTTTTTAAAGACAAATAACCGTGTACTCACTCCAAGGCATTGTTTGGCTTGTCCGGCTCCTCATACAGACCAACAAGCACTGGAAAGAAAAGCAACACAGAGTATGTCACAGGAGAAACAAAAACTCTGACTCAGCAAAAACATGACTTTCTTTAATTCGATTTTTTTTCGAACAATTGACTACATCGAAGACATCCATATGATTATATATTATGAGCACGGTACTACTATTACATAATTACTTCACCCAAAAAAGGTGGTTACAAGACCTAATCAAGTACAAGTACATGGGTAGGTGATAAGGAAAAGGTGAGTCCCTTAGGTGTTCACTGTTGAGTCTGACCTTTTGTGAGGGCGTCCAAGACGCCGGCCTTCTCCAGGTACTTCCTGAACTCCTCACGCTTCGAGTCTGCTGCCTGCAGGAACAGGGGAGATTATGTCACAAATTATTCAGCTGTACTACAGTAGTATTTCCTTCTGTATCCCTCTAGGTGTATGGAAGTGAGAACCTTGCTGTACTACTGTAGTAACAAAATCACTTAACTACGTGTATGGTAATAAAATTCGGTTCCAATAATTTGCACGAGTCTGATAGAAAACACCTGTTATTTTAGTTTACATTATAAATTATTTTTGCACAAAATTTATAGTATCTTTTTCTCTGGGCAAACCATTGCTTCGAATGTAGACTTGGTACCAGTTCGTTCAACACAGGACAGTGTACAAAATCCTAGTGCTTTCATACAAAAGTTACGCCCATTTTAAGAAGGTTGAGACTCTTTAAGAGGGATTCAGACCAATTAAATCAAAATCGTACAACAGGTGCACAAATATTTTCTGCACAACAAACTCCGAAGACTGGTCAAGGAAAAATAAACGGGCTATTTGAGCCGAATTAAGCCTGAATGTACGTACAATTTTCAGTGGCAACATTTTAGACTTACCCTGTACGAAGTCATGGTGTTAGTAGTTCCTAAAACGTCTCAAAATTGTCTGTAAATCGCAGAAATTCAGTCTCGACAAGTTTTCACCGAGTGTTTGCGAAACAAAAATGGCGGAAGGTTGCTAGATGCGCAGAAAACCTGCGCAGTAGTCCACGGTGAGACCAGACGAGTCCATTATCTGCAACAATTCAAGAGGCGTTCATAATTTTTAAAACTGAATCAAAAATCGGCCAAATTGTATTTGTCATATCTAAAAACTATTTCACTAAGAGGAAGAGATACAGTATGTATGAAAAATTTTATAGTTAATAGAATTGCTGAATATTTTCACAAAATTAAACAGAAGCTAATTCTATCTATTGGTTCAGACCAACTGGGTCATAGGTCAGCTTTCTTGTGAAAGTTACCGCCATCTTCAAACTTACCAGTTTCGGACTGCCAAATTCTGTTGTCTAAATCTGCTGCCAGGTACTTCTAAACAGTTTTCTCGGGTTGGCATCTGCTATGTCCTGTCTTAAGGTATGTCAGGCGATCTTTGATTGACTTAGAGCTAAAGGAAGTCTTAACTTATTGCCATAAATTCTGTACCCATGCCATGCTAGTCATAATGAATAACACATGGTATTTTTCCATGTGCATATAATATACATTTCAAATATTATTTCTGTACGGTTGCAAGTGTTCATGTAAAAGATTTGTAAGTTGTTACCTACTAAGTTAGCATCCCAAGATTTAGAAGAAGACAGGCGTGCAAAAATTTGAATCATAGCAGACACATTTTGTTTTTGTTTACTTTTTCAAGGGGAAGATATAAAATGTGCAAATAGCAAGTCTGAAGTTCAAACCTGCCCACCAGAGGTCAGACCTTGACCTTTGACCATGACTGACCTCCTGACCCATGACCTGAGGGACTGCTGCTGTCACCTGGAGTCAGATAAGGTCACGGAAAGAAAGGTGGGTTCATCTTAGCTTACTGGCACTATACTATAACACATATTTGAGCTGCCAATTCATTCTCTCCCGTTTGCAAAGAAGACAGCTAAAATGGGTTTGGTAATCAGGATAATA